TACACACCATGGAGTCACTAGGGCAGGCACAGCCTGAGGACTGCTGTTCTACACACCATGGAGTCACTAGGGCAGGCGCAGCCTGAGGACTGCTGTTCTACACACCATGGAGTCACCAGGGCAGGTGCAGCCTGAGGACTGCTGTTCTACACACCATGGAGTCTCTAGGGCAGGTGCAGCCTGAGGACTGCTGTTCTACACACCATGGAGTCACCAGGGCAGGCACAGCCTGAGGACTGCTGTTCTACACCATGGAGTCACTCAGGGCAGGCACAGCCTGAGGACTGCTGTCCTACACACCATGGAGTCACCAGGGCAGGCACAACCTGAGGACTGCTGTTCTACACCATGGAGTCACTCAGGGCAGGCGCAGCCTGAGGACTGCTGTTCTGCACACCATGGAGTCACTAGGGAAGGCACAGCCTGAGGACTGCTGTTTTACACACCATGGAGTCACTAGGGCAGGCACAGCCTGAGGACTGCTGTTCTGCACACCATGGAGTCACTCAGGGCAGGCACAGCCTGAGGACTGCTGTTCTACACACCATGGAGTCACTCAGGGCAGGCACAGCCTGAGGACTGCTGTTCTACACACCATGGAGTCACTCAGGGCAGGCGCAGCCTGAGGACTTCTGTTCTACACACCATGGAGTCACTCAGGGCAGGCGCAGCCTGAGGACTGCTGTACTACACACCATGGAGTCACCAGGGCAGGCACAGCCTGAGGACTGCTGTTCTACACACCATGGAGTCACTAGGGCAGGCACAGCCTGAGGACTGCTGTTCCACACACCATGGAGTCACTAGGGCAGGCACAGCCTGAGGACTGCTGTACTACACACCATGGAGTCACTAGGGCAGGCACAGTCTGAGGACTGCTGTTTTGCACACCTTTTCTTGACATCTGCTCTGCCCAGCCTTGTCTGAGGACACGAGTATCAACAATTTCACTGTTCAGAAAGTCTCTCAAAAGGGACCTACATCTTCCTAATGTCTCTGGACAGGTTTTTTAGCAATTAAAGCTCTTGACCCTTATTTAAGCTATGTGATGTAAATTAGAGGGCAATTTCATGTCAGCAGGACATATTTAACTTAAATCACTAGTCACAGAGAGCAGAGTCACTCTGCCACGGGGCACATCTTCCCCTTTGATCCCCTCTGCTGCTCAGATCGTCTGCATTTAACTCCAAGATGTTGGGTATCCTGAGTGGTTGTGTGCCACATACTCTCCAGTGACACTGCTAGGGTGGGATGCTAGCTGCTGTGCCCTGCATTGCTTCTTGTAGCCTTGGTTGGTTACTGTAGCCTTGGCTGGTCTTGGTAGCCTTGGTTGGTTACTGTAGCCTTGGTTGGTTACTTAGCCTTGGTTGGTTACTGTAGACTTGGCTGGTTACTGTAGCCTTGGTTGGTTCCTGTAGCCTTGGTTGGTTATTGTAGCCTTGGTTGGTTCCTGTAGCCTTGGTTGGTTACTGTAGCCTTGGTTGGTTATTGTAGCCTTGGTTGGTTCCTGTAGCCTTGGTTGGTTACTGTAGCTTCTGTTGGTTATTGTAGCCTTGGCTGGTTACTGTAGCTTCTGTTGGTTATTGTAGCCTTGGCTGGTTACTGTAGCCTTGATTGGTTACTGTAGCCTTGGCTGGTCATGGTAGCCTTGGTTGGTTACTGTAGCCTTGGCTGGTTACTGTAGCCTTGGTTGGTTACTGTAGCCTTGGCTGGTTACTGTAGCCTTGGCTGGTCATGGTAGCCTTGGTTGGTTACTGTAGTCTTCATTGGTTACTGTAGCCTTGGCTGGTCGTGGTAGCCTTGCCTGGTCTTGGTAGCCTTGCCTGGTCTTGGTAGCCTTGGTTGGTTACTATAGCCCTGGTTGGTTACTGTAGCCTTGGCTGGTCGTGGTAGCCTTGGCTGGTCGTGGTAGCCTTGCCTGGTCTTGGTAGCCTTGCCTGGTCTTGGTAGCCCTGGTTGGTTACTGTAGCCTTGGTTGGTTACTGTAGTCTTCGTTGGTTACTGTAGCCTTGGCTGGTCGTGGTAGCCTTGCCTGGTCTTGGTAGCCTTGCCTGGTCTTGGTAGCCCTGGTTGGTTACTGTAGCCTTGCTTGTTTATGGTAAGTCGGTTGGTCATTGTAGCCTCTGTTGGTTGTAGAGGGGATGTCTCCAGAAGGCCAACCCAGGCCTGCGCAGACTCTTCTTGGTAAGTGTGTCAGTGTATGCACACGTGCCTGGAGCTAGGGGCAGGGCCTCGGGTTGGCTCCGCACGTACTTTCCCACTGAGCTCCACCCAGCCCTTCTGTCTTTTAGGTTCACGTTGCCTGTCCACCTTATTCTCTGGCCCTAATGCTGAAAGCAGGTGTTCAAGTTGTTAGGGAGATAGGAAGTGGAATGTGCCCTTGAACATCAGCTCTTTTAACTGCCCACAGGACACCCGGAGTGGTAATGGGCATCTTCAGGGTCGCAGAGGCCTGGGATCCAGCCCCAGCCTGTCCACTCACCCTTTGGTCTCCTCCAGGAACCATCCTTGGCTCCTGACCCTTCCCTGGGAGCTGCTGCCGTCTGGCCGGTGGTGGACAGCTGTCAGTGAGGAAGAGAAGGGCTGGTTCATGGTGGTCTCCTCCTAGGCCATGGTCTCCGTGCTCACTCTCCTCGGTCCACAGCACGCTGGGACATCGAGAGACCAGCAAGATCCCAGCCCTCTAGCTGCTCGGGGAGGGGGCTGAGCCCCAGAGGAGGTGGGAGGGGACAGTGGCGCGTCAGCCTCATCACCCTGCAGGCCCCACCCTGTCTCAGAGCCCAGTCCTGCAGGGCCTTCTGAGGGCGGGAGCAAGTGCCCCAGGAGAGGCCCCCTGGGCGCCTGGGCACCCGCCCTCCCACACGCCAGCCTTGAAGAGAGCGGCCCCCAGTGCGCCAGTCATCTTGCCAGTCCTGAGAAGCAGCTTGAAGAGACGCCAAGTTCATTTTGTCTCTGAGTTTTAAGGTCTCAGCCCGCGATTGATGGGCCCCATTGCTCTGGCCTGTGGCAGCAAACTGCTCACCTCACGGCCAGGGTCCCTCTGCCCTCCCAGGGCATGTTCCCAGTGGCCTCAGACCCCCACGGGGCCCGCCCCTTAGGTCCGCCGCCTCCTGAGGCTCCCAGCTGGGCCCTGCCCTCCAGCCTTCGCCACGCCTGGTGTCAGCCAGCCTCGTACCCGTGCTTCGTGGGCAGTGGACTCGCAGCACCCAAACTTATAACCTGGGGTGGGGCCCCAGTGCTGGGCACTGGTCCCTCCAGGAGGACGAGCAGCCTGCAGAGGCCCAGGCCGAGCTCCAGGCAGCACCAGGAGCCTGTGACTGCATCTCCACAGGCGGATTCCTTTTGCAGCAAACATCTACAAGTTAATAGGTTTCATCTTCATGTCCACCTGGGGCAGAGCTCATCCCTGTCCTGCGGGTCAGAACTCCTCTGGGCTCAAGTGGACGGCGCACGGTTAGTGAGTAGTGAACGGGCTTCACGGGCCGGAGCAGGTCTGTGCCTGTGGGCTGCTCGGTGAGCAAGGGAGGTGGTGCCTTCTAAGGCGAGCTCTTGAGTGGTGCCCCAACGCAGACAGGAGCTCTTCCTGCTGGCTCTGAAGTGCCGGGAGGCAGGAGATGACAGGCTCCCGTGGGCTTGGCGGGACGTGCAGGTTGCCCCTCTCCCCATGGAGGCCCTCCTTCCCCGGGCCCTGCAGCCTCACGAAGCCGTGTCTGTCCAGGGGCCCGAGGCCTGGTGCTGCTCCTGGTGCTCAGGCGCCTCTTCCAAGCCCCAGTGGGACGGGGATCTGTGCCCTGGCGTAGAACCATCCGGCTTTTCACGGCTGTCCTCTTCTGTTTCTTGCTGAGCCTCAGCAGGACAGGCCAGGGCAGGGTGCCCCCCGACCCTCCCACTAGGTGCAGCTTTAACTGCACCCCGTGCTCTAGGGCTGAGGGAGGCCCACCTCCGCTGTGTCCCAGGGGTGGGCATGAGCCATGGAGGTGGTGCTAGGTGGCCTGGCAGGAGGTTGGCAGGTCGGGCAGGTGTCCCCAGGTCCTGGGAGATGAGGAATGGGAAGGGTGTGGGCCCAGGGAACGCTCAGGGCCTGGCTCCAGCTTGCATCTGGCCATCACACGTGGTCCAGCCTGTGTCCCCGAGATGAAGCTCTGCCAGGACACACCTGTGGCCTCAGAGGCTTTGGATGAAATGAAACCAGGGTCGCCGCGTCACTCTCCTGTCTCCAGCTACAAACAAAACCGTGCTCTGGCCCTGCGTCACCTCCAGGGACAGATTCCATTTGGCGGGTGGGTGGGGGTCTTTGCTCAGCCCTGGGTCTGCTCAGGGGCCCCCAAGGCTTTGCATCCACCTAGAGTAAGAAACAGAAATGTCCAGCGGCTCCTGGGCCTTCTGGATGCTTCCAGGGCTGGGGGCCTGCAAGCGCGGGGTGGGGACTCTGCCTGACAACCCCCACGGCCTTTGCCCCAGCTCTCTGAGCACGATTTGTTTCCTTTCTGCTCTGTTCTGCAGAGTTTCTTGGCTAAGACGGACTTGGATGTGTCTGAAGTCTCCCCATTTTCCCATAACTGGCCTTGAGGTCGGCGGTTGGTGGAGGGGTGTCTCCTGCCATGGGCTGTGCCCTGGTCTCAGCCTCACCCTACAGAAGGCTCTCAGGCTCTGGGGGGCTGAGGCAGGGGGTCTGGTGGTGCCTTTGTACCTCTGGCCTCTTGTATTCAGCGGTCAGCATGGTGGGCTGGGCTCCAGGGCCATCCAGACTCTTGCTTTGAACAGTAGCCGGGTCCTGGTCCTGGAAACACCCAGGTGGAACTTGGGTCAGAGCTGACGCGCAGGGACCTCTGCCAGTCATGCTGGGGTGTGGAGGGGCTGGTGTTCCTGACTCAGAGACCAGGAGAGCCCAGGAAGCCTGAGGCCCGGGTCCTTCTGGTCCTGCCGCACAGACCTTGTGCTCATGTCCTTCTGTCTGCCCAGCTGAGCCTCATGGTCACTTGCTATTCTGCTTCCTGCAGGAGCTTCCCAGTGGGGACCCCAAGGATGGGCCTTTCCGGGAGGACCAGGTGCCCCTAGAAGGTGAGTACAGTCCTGACGTCCCCTCCCAGAGCTCACAGCACCCCATTGAAGGCCAGTGTCCTGAGGTGGCCTGACACCTACCAGCATAAGTGTGGCAGCAGCCTCGTGGCCACACTGCCCCCCCAGGATCCTCACTGGACAGGCAGCTTGCATTTGGCCATCACACGTGGTCCAGCCTGTGGCCCCGAGTGCTGTTGCTCCATGTCTGGAGCTCTGTACCCTGTCTGTGGGCACGGGCTCCACGGGGACAGCTCTGGGGGGCTGGAGCAGGGGGCTCCCCAGACCATGACTGGGACTGTGAGCCCCAGGTGGGCATGGGGGCCACTGTGGAGTGGGCCTGGGTGCCCAGCACATACCAGAAGAGTCCTTGCCAGGGTGCATCTCTGGTGGGGGACAGTCCTCCTACAGAGGACAGTCTCCACAGGCCACCTGCCTATCAGGTGCAGGGTGCAGGGCCACCTTTCTACGGCTGCTAAGACCAGGGGCTCCAGGACCCCCCACCCCCTGTTGGAAACTCAGGTTCTGGGCACCTTCCCAGCTCACAGCTGGGAGAGTGCTGCCCGAGGGGCCTGGGGCCCTAACCTGGCGACACGGCTTGTGAGAGCCAGAGAATAACGAGCCGTAGGACCGAGGCACCTCACCGTCCACAAGCAGAGGCTGGGAGAGGGGTCTGCTCAACAGACAGCCTGCAGGCAGCCTCACCTATGGGTCCTGGGGTTGAGGGCTGTCGGGAAACTGGACCGTGCATGGGGGGAGGGAGGTCTGACCACACGGGGCCATGCTGGAGGCCCCACGAGCAGGGACCCTTCCCACAACCCTCTGTGCAATGTCGGCAGCCCCCTAGCCCCCAGAGGACAGCCTGCTCCCCGGGAGCCACTGTGGGAGGTCGGCGAGGCAGGACACCTGGCTGCAGCTGACTCTGGAGAGGCCTCCCTGCTGGTCTCTTGGTGCCCCTGATTCCAAAGGCGGACTTTCAGCACAGGCCCACTTTGGAGGGGTCCGTGGCTGGGGGGGGTAGCAGAGGGCAGCAACAGCTCTCCCTGGCCAGGCCCCATCCTCCATTGTCCCCTCTGTCACCAAATCACCTACCTGGGCAGGGCACCTCCCTCACCCCTTCTTGTTCCCCGCAGTGGCGCTACCCCCCGAGAAGGCCGAGGGCCACAGGGGCCCAGGACAGCTCTTCAGCATGGACGAAGGGGAGAGAGCCGCAAACCGTGAGGGCTCGCGAGGCCTGGGCAGGAAGCGCCTGAACATTGACGTAGGCCTTTGCCCCACTCCACACAGAGCGTCCCGGGGCCCGGGGTGGGCAGTGGAGGCCCCAGGTGGGTGGCCCTGGGCCTTCCAGCTGGCCTTCCTGTCATCCAGCATAGGCCCCCAGGAGCAAAGCTCGTGAGTGTGCCGGCTCTGGGTCCTCAGCACAGCTGTCTCGGTGAGCTCGGCCCGGCCTGGCCAATGAGGCAGAAGTGGAGAGGTCTCCGCATGGTGCCCAGACCCCAGGGGAAGTACAGCGAGGGCTGGGGACGGGTCCTGCCTCCTTGTGGGGCCTGGGGAGGAGCCGGCCACCTGGTTTACAGTCTATTTCTGGGGCTGGCACTTGGCAGTGGGCAGGGCCTCCTCATCCTGGGAGACGCTGGGCACTCGAGCAGGCACAGGCCATAGTGGGAGATTGAGCATGGTGCCAGTTCCGCTTGGAGGGCTGGAGCAGGCAAGGACGAGTCTCCTGGCCGCACACCAGAAATGGAAGACCCCTTGGAAGTGTCCCTTGGAGTCACAGGCCCCCTGGTGTGACAGGGCCTATAGAAGACCCAGGGTTGTGGGGGATGACAACAGTATTTCCTGTGCCCTATCCCTGCGTGCTACCAGCAGGCCCTTCAGTGTGATGTCTCGGTGGAGGAGGATGACCGCCAGGAGTGGACATTCACGCTGTATGACTTTGACAACAGTGGGAAGGTCACCAGGGAGGTACCGTGCCCGTGCATGTCAGCTGTCCACCAGAGGGTGCTCGGGTGTGGCCTGTGGCATCTGGAATCAGGCTGGTCCAGTAGGCAGATGGACAGACAGAGACACCCAGCCCCCGATATGGGGAGGCAGCTCCAGCTGAAGTAGGAGAGGGTGGGCCTGTTGCTGTGGGGAGGTGGGAGGCAGACAGGAGGGGCCCACTGGCGGTCCTGGCCGGCTAGAGTGGGCGTCCTGTAACCCAGGGCTGCCTGCTGACATTTCCCCGCCCAGCCTGGTGTGGTCTGTGTCTGCAGCTGGGATGCCCTTGGCCAAGCCTGGGCCAGCAACCCTGCAGGGCAGCCAGGTCCCAGGAGTGACCCCTACCTGGCTGAGCTGTGAGTCTGGGACCCAGAGGCCTCTTGAAGTGAAGCAGGGGACAGGGGACATGAACATGCTGAGATAAGCATGCCTGAGTGAAAGTGGAACTGTCCGTCTGTCTGCTGAGCCCTTTGGCAGAGAGCTGTGACTCCAGGGGTAACGGGGTGACCGTCCAGCCATGGAAGGCACCCTCTGGGCTAATCTAAGACGTTCTCTGGCCTGGGATTTGGAGTGCATGGCGCATGGGTGCCAGGGCAGCAGGGGTGGGGGTGTTTAGCAGCAAGGGTGCGCAGTGTCTCCTCTCAGGTCAGCTGTGCCCTCCCAGGACATGTCCAGCTTGATGCATACCATTTATGACGTCGTCGACGCCTCCATCAACCACTCCTCAGGCAGGAGCAAGACCCTCCGAGTGAAGCTGACCGTCAGCCCTGAGCCCTCTAGCAAGAGGAAGGAGTGTCCTCCCACCAACGAGGGTGGGGCCCTGGGCCAAGAAGCTGCCCTTGCTTAGATAGCCCCGTCCCCACGGCACTGCCCAGGCCTGGTTTCAGGGGCTGGTCACCCGGCCCTATGCCTGGGCCCTGCCCACATTCTCCCTTGGCTCTCGCCCCCTCGCCCCCCCCCAGCGCAGTGCACGACCCCTGACCCCATGCACTTCTCAGTACCCGGCTCCTCAGCCGTGCTCTGTCCCCAGCTTCCACAGTGGCCCCCTGCCCCCTGCCCCTGCGGGGTTCCAGACTGCTAGGCCAGTGAATGCGAGGCTGCCCTGCTGGGGGGATGTGCCCAGTGAGTGGCACCCTAGTGGAGGGGCGAGTGGGGCCGGGGACTCACGGTGGACAGAATGGATGGGTGCAGGGCCAGCAATGAGTAGTGCCTGAGCCAAGCTGGAGAGCGCCCACCCCTCTTGCAGACCAGGAGCCCAATCGCAGCCAGATGGAGAGCGAGCTTGCAGAGGATGCCCGGGTTGCAGAAAAGCGGCTGTCTGCCCACGTCGGGTGAGTGGCCACTTCTGCAGCTGCCCTGGGAAGGCCCTGGGTGGAGGCCGGGCTGAGCACCCAGCCTGAGTGACAGGCAAGGCTCTGGTGGCAGGTGCTAGGTGGGCCGGCACCCCTAGCCTGGGTCACTGCACATCTTGGGTTCCACTGGCCAGTTTGGGAGGTGTCAGTGGCCATAAACAGGTGACCAGAAAACACCCCAGTGTCACTTCCCGAGGCTCTCTGAGGATATGGCAGGTGACATCCTGGATCCATAGGACTATGGACCTTGTTCCTCCACCACCACCACCACCATCATGGACTATGGACCTTGTTCCTCAGGATGGTGCCCAACTTTCCTCAGGCTGCCCCAGGCCATGGGTACTGGTCAGAGCACCCCGGGGCCTTGCTGCCTCTACTGATGCCCCCTCATCAAAGGAGTGAGGGTCTGGCCAGGGGCGCCTGGTCAGGCCCCTCCTTTCTGCCCCTGCAGGAGGCCCAGCGTCGAGCCCCAGCCCTGCTCTGTGCGGGGGCCCTACTGCGTGGATGAGAACACCGAGCGCAGAAACCACTACCTGGACCTGGCTGGGATCGAGAACTACACCTCTAAATTTGGCCCAGGTAGGTAACAGAAGACCCTACACCACCTGGCCCCAGGTATGCCTCCACGAAGGTGCTAGCCAAGTGGAGGGCTCTGGAACCCCCACATGGTTGGGGCCAAGGGTGCCCCACCCACTCAGAGGACCTGGCCCACTCCTCTGCACCAGCCAGTGCCTGGAGCAAGGCCGTGCCTGTCCAGGTGTGCATGATGTACCCAGCCCTGGAGAGGCCAGACCTCGGGGGATCCATGGCAGAATTACCAGCTCCCTCAGAAGCATTGGGCAGCCCACAGAGTGGACAGAAGCAGGCCTGCCCACCACTGGTTCCTTCTGACTAGTAGCACCCTTTGTGGCATTCAGTAGGTTGCCATGGTGCTTGGGCCCTGTCCTAGGGGTGACCTGGGTCCCCTGACACCCTGACTCTGGGAACTGACTCCCAGTAGAAGTCCAGGGCTGGGCTTCAGGGCCTGTGCCTGTCTGACCTCTGACCTGGCCACCAGGCTGGCCTTGGATGGGAGCCCCTGGTGAGGCCTCCCCCTGTGGACCTTGAGCACATGTCACTTCCAGGAAGAGGAGACAGGACTGACCCCCGGTTCTGGGCCCCGCATGGGCCCATCCTCTGTCCCCTGTCTGTAGGGCTGCCGGAGCAGGCAAGGCAGGAGCAGCAGGGCAGGGCCGCCTATCTCCAGAGCAGGTCCCGCTCCCAGGAGCCGGACACCCATGCTGCCCATCACCGCAGGTCCCAGATGCTGGCCGAGCATGCCATGCCAGTTCCCGAGCCCACTGTGAGGGCCCTGGACATGCAGCCCCGGCTGAAGGGGCAGGAGAAGCAGTTCCTCCGGTCCCCCAAGGGCCCAGGGAAGCCACTGGGGCTGGGAGGCAGCAGCAAGCCGGGGAAGGCCCTTGGCTACTACCTGCCGGCTGCCTCGTTCCCCCAGGCCCCTCGGGACGGCCACCACCTCCCACAGCCCCCTCCACAGCCCCCACCACAGCCCTACGGCCACAAGCGATACCGGCAGAAGGGCAGGGAGGGCCCCTCGCCACTCAAGGCCCCACACGGCCAGCCTGTGGTGGAGCACGAGGCCTTGCGGGACCTTCCAGCCGTGCCGGGGGCCGAGGGCTACATGGTGCCCGTGGTCCAGCGGCATGAGCACCACCACCATCACCAGCACGAGCACCACCACCACCACCACCTCCACCACCTCCTCCTCCTCCCATCCTAGCACCCGCCCTGACCATGCAGGCACCTCCTCCTCCACCACCACCACGTCCTCCACCTCCACGTCCTCCTCCACCACCTCCTCCTCCTCCACTACCACCTCCTCCACCACCTCCTCCTCCTCCACCACCTCCTCCTCCTCCACCACCACTTTACAACCTCCTCCACCACCACCTCCAGCACCTCCTCCTCCTCCTCCACCTCCTCCACCACCTCCTCCTCCACCACCACTTTACCACCACCTCCTCCATTACCTCCTCCTCCACCTCCTCCTCCTCCCATCCTAGCGCCCGCCCCGACCATGCAGGCACCTCCTCCTCCACCACCACCACGTCCTCCTCCACCACCTCCTCCTCCTCCACTACCACCTCCTCCACCACCACCTCCTCCACCACCTCCTCCTCCACCACCTCCTCCTCCTCCTCCACCACTTTACAACCTCCTTCACTACCACCTCCTCCACCACCACCTCCAGCACCTCCTCCTCCTCCTCCACCTCCTCCACCACCACCTCCTCCTCCACCACCACTTTACCACCACCTCCTCCATTACCTCCTCCTCCACCACCACCACGTCCTCCACCTCCACGTCCTCCTCCACCACCTGCTCCTCCTCCACCACCACCTCCTCCACTACCACCTCCTCCACCACCTCCTCCTCCTCGACCACCACCTCCTCCTCCTCCACCACCACTTTACAACCTCCTCCACCACCACCTCCAGCACCTCCTCCTCCTCCACCACTTTACCACCACCTCCTCCATTACCTCCTCCTCCTCCCATCCTAGCGCCTGCCCCGACCATGCAGGCACCTCCTCCTCCACCACCACCACGTCCTCCTCCTCCACCACCTCCTCCTCCACCACCTCCTCCTCCTCCACCACCTCCTCCACCACCTCCTCCTCCTCCTCCACCTCCTCCTCCATCACCTCCTCCTCCTCCTCCTCCTCCCGTCCTAGCACCCGCCTCGCCCACCCCAGGCACCTCCTCTTCTACCACCTCCTCCTCCTCCCGTCCTAGCACCCACCCCAGCACCTCCTCCTCCACCACCACCACGTCCTCCACCACCACCTCCTCCTTCTCCACCACCACCTTTACCACCACTTTCATCACCACCACCTCCATCACCACCTCCTCCACCACCTCCTCCTTCTCCACCACCACCTTCACCACCACCACCTCCATCACCACCTCCTCCACTACCTCCTCCTCCACCACCACCACCACCACCACCTCTTCCTCCACCACTATCTCCACTACCTCCTCCATAATCACCACCTCCTCTTCCTGTCCTAGCGCCTGCCCTGCCCACCCCGGGCACCACCACCACCACCACCACCACCTCCTCCTCCACCACCACCACTACCTCCTCCTCCACCACCACCTCCTTCACCACCTCCTCCACCCATCCTCCTCCACTACCACCAACACTGCCACCACCTCCTCTTCCACCACCTCTTCTACCACCACCTCCTCCTCCTCCCATCCTAGTGCCAGCCCTGCCTACCCCAGGCACCACCACCACCACCACCTCCTCTACCACCACCTCCTCACCTTCTCCAACCACCTCCACCACCACCTCTTTCACTACCTCCTCCTCCAACACCTCTACCACCTTCTTTTCCACCACCTCCTCCTCCACCACCACCTCCTTCTCCACCTCTTTCTCCTCTTCCACCTCCACTACCACCATCTCTTCCACCACCACCACCTCCATCACCTTCACCACCTTCACCACTTCCACCACCTTCACCATCTCCACCACCTCCTCCTCCACCACCTCCACCACCTCCTCCTCCTGCCACCTTAGCACCCACCCTGGGCACTACCTCCTCCACCACCACCAGCACCTCCGCCACCGCCTCTTCCTCCACCACCACCAAAACCTCCTTCACCACCACCTCCACCATCACCAACTCCTCCACCACCACTACCTCCTCCTCCACCACCTCCTTCTCCTCCCTTCCTAGCGCCTGCCCTCACCCACTCTGGGCACCACCACCACCTCCTTCTCCCTTCCTAGCGCCTGCCCTCACCCACTCTGGGCACGACCACCACCTCCTTCTCCTCCCTTCCTAGCGCCTGTCCTCACCCACTCTGGGCACCACCACCACCACCACCACCTCCTTCTCCTCCCTTCCTAGCGCCTGTCCTCACCCACTCTGGGCACCACCACCACCACCTCCTCCTCCCCCCATTCTAGTGCCTGCCCCATCCACACTGGGTGGCACCACCAGCCCGAGCATCCACCACCACCACCTTCTCCTCCAGTCCTAGGGCCCGCCCTGTCCCCTATCCACCCTGGTCCTGTGGATGCAGCTCAAGTGCCCTGTGTGAAGTCCGGTGCAGAGCCTGGTGTCCTGACCCTGCACTGGTTCCAGAGGTCAGGTGGGCACAGCCGGGGTAACACCAGGACAGACATAGGCAGGCAGGGCTCTGCTCAGTTTCCCATGGATGCAGGTGGTCAGATGCCACTGTGGTTCCTGCGATGAGCAGTTGTCTGTGATCATGAAAACTGTGCACAGAAAATGCACTTCACTTGCTGCTGTTCATGCATCCAAAGCGGGCCCAGGGCACAAGGGGTCTGCTGCGTGGCTCTCAGCACACCCTCCGGCAGGGTGTCACCTCTAAGTTAGGCTGTCCCTGTGCAAGCAGGTGGAGGGAGATGAGCCCCTTGGAACATGTGTTCTCTGTGAAGTCAGGTGCAGGGCCTTCCTGAGCACACCAAGTGTCCTCCCCAAACACAAGTCATGGGGAGAGGGGCGGCTGCCGGCTTCAGCAAGAAGTGCCAGTGCTGGGGCCGGAGAAGAGGTGGTGGCAAAGTGCTCTGTGACAGCGCAGCACGTGGGTCCCCAGCGTCTGGGTGGGCACCAGCAGAGAGGTGCAGGGTCAGGAGGTGAGTCTCACACTTGTCTTGCCCAACCAAGCGTCTTCCCCGGGTGAGCAGGTGTAGGACGGGAGCTTGGCCTGCAGAGGCCGTGAGATCCCTCCCGCAGCCTGAGTCTGCGGGATTATGGGCTTTCTCTCCTTGGGTTGCTTTTGAGGATAAAGCCAATCGGTGGCCTGCTGGTCTGTGAGAATTTCTTCCAGGTGTAAGAAAATCATGCGTTTTGTGATGCCTCATGCTACCGCATACCAAAAGTTTTCCAGAGAGCTGCAGTCAGCGCACCTATTCCAAGTGGCCCCGGGCGCAGCCCACAGGGCGTGGGCTGTGTGGACAGTATGTCTGCCTGGGTTTATGCAGTGGAGAGGGAACTTGCAAGACACACAGGAGTGCACATCACATCACTGCGTAGGCTTTCCCACCACACTGCTCTGAGACAGGACATGGGGAACACTGGGCCCGGTGTTCAGGTGCATAGACCTTGGCTGGCGTAGGAAGCTGGGCTTCCAGCCAGCAGGGCCTGTTGCAGGGGCCCACATCCTCCTCGGATGTTGTGGTTTTAAGAAACCCCTTGAGACTTTTGGGGCTGGGGTTCCTCCCGTGAGCCAAGCCTCTCCTGGCACTTTGTGTGGGGAACCCCACGCTGAGGTGGGTCACACCCCGAGGTTCCTTGCTAAGGCCGCCTTCCCAGGACATGCTGCCTTTTCACAACTGAACAGGTCCACCACACAGACTCGGCTGTGGACAGTGCTTCTGTGAAGTCCAGACTGACATCCCCTCTCAGGTGTGTCCCCAGGAGGGCAGCTGTGGCCCATAGGGTGACTTGACAGTGTCACCACGGTGACCTCCAGAAAGCCCATGCCAGAGTCCCCATTCCTCTGCACCCAACACCTTGCCAGATGCCCACCTGCTGCAGCGAGCAGCACTCTGGTCAGGCCTTCCCTGGTGCAGACTGCGGGTTGAGCCACGGGCTCCTGGTGCTGCTGCCCAGCAGCTGGGCCCTGGCCTGCCTCCTCCTGGCCAGGCAGGCCAGGACCCAAGCCCCGGGGCTGAGCTGGTGGACCCGTCCTGTGACAGCCCCTCCGAGAGGAGGGAGGGTGAGCCCATTCCTCCCGCTGCTGGACTCTGCTCAATGAGAAATTCTCCCAAACCTCAGGTTTCATAGGACTTTATTCTACAAACAGAATCAGACAAAGACAAGGAATCTATAAAAGGAAACCATGAAGTCGATTTTGGATGGCTGCAGTGACAAGGCAGGTTCACAAAGGAAAAGCCGGCCGGGGCGGAGCTGCAGCCCAGGTCCCCCGGCCCTTCCTGGGACGAGGCAGGGGCCTTCCACACGGCTCTGCTCTGGCGGCCCTCGGCGGGCAGGCCCACTGCCTGTGTGGGACATGAGCCGAACAGTGGTCACTGGCGAGCTGACCCTCCCTGTGCCCTACAGTGCCTCTGCCCTGACCTGGACTCTGTGGACGGGCTTATTCGCTAGGGAGCCCTGGCGCCAGAGACAGCCCAGGGCCTGAGTGTGGGACCTCTGAGGAAGCAAGCTCTGTGGACAGTGGGGTCACCCCCAAAAGGCCCCAGGGTGTTTAAATAAATAAATAACCCACGCAGCGGGCAGCGAGGCCAGCAAGGCCAAGTGAGCCCACAGCCTGCCAACACAGCTGACCTAGAACCGGAAAGCTCCAAGGTAAAGTGCGAACCAGCAGCAGGTGGTGAGGGTGCCCAGCTGTTGCTGCCTCACCGCACGGGGCCCACGCCCAGCAGGGGGCTCGTCCAGCTGAGGCTGCCTTCTCCTTCACAGGGCAAGGGGTGGGACGGCACTCCACTCTGCACATGGGCCATGTGCAGAATTCCCGGCTCTTAGGTCCCGCACACCCCCACTCAGGGCAGCAAGCCCCCGCCGCCCAGGCGCACACTGGCAGGGCCCTGTGGGTGCTTACGAAGAGCAGCTGGGACCCCCACACAGCCGCAGCTCGGCAGGGGAGCCCAGGAGGGACGCAGCTGGCACTCACACCCCACCGGGACGCAGGCTCTGTTCAGCACCCTGCCCAGTGTGCACTGGCCCAGCTGTTCATGGGAGACTGGGAGGCACGGAGCCCCACGGCCACACTGACATTCTGCCCTTGGCCCAGGGGACAAGCATGCTTTGCCATAAGTGTTCTGTGTGGGGTGTCAATGACATGCGAAGTCACAGTCTGGCTGAGGCTGGGCAGTGGACACTGGTCAATCCCAGGTTGCTGGGTACATGGAGCTCTGCCCTGGACGGATACAGGGGGCTCTCCAGTCACTCGCGGCCCCTCTCAGTACTTCCTAGAATGTCTTCTGTGTGGAGGGAGCCCAGGTGGTGGCTCTAGAAACTTCTGTAGGAAGCCAGGTACAGCAGGTCAGGTGGCCTGAGTGACATCTGTCAGTCTGAGTTGGGCTGGCACCGTCCTCACCCCATCTGGCATGCCCACCGTCATCAGGCCTTAGGAGTAGATGGTGATGACCTCCCGGCCACCACCCCTGACCAGAAGCACCCTGTTCAGCCCCTCGGTCAAGACCTCAAGAAACTCCATGTCTGGGTGCAGAGTTAAGGCCAGGCAGGTCTCCCTGGGCCACGTGCAGGGGAGACCCTCTATTACAACGCAGAGTACACCTGGGAAGGGGCCAAGACCAGCCAAAGAAGACCCTGTTCTGGGGGGCGGGATGGGGGACCCCAGGGAGTGGGGAGGACATGGAGGGGCTGCTGGTCAGGAAAGAGAAGAAAGTGGCCGCTAACCCCACAAACCTCAAAGCAAACCTCAGCCAGGTGACCGGATCAGAGCCAGCACCTAGAACCCAGGGTCTGTCTCTGACCCAGAAGCCCAGGAGATGCCCACCCCACACAGCCTGGGCACAGGGCTGGCTGCAGTCTTGAGGGAGGAGTCCAGCAGGACCCCAGGCATCAGGCGTGCATTACCAACAGCTGAACCACTGAGCTATGGTCAGCGGATATGAGCTTCCAGCCCAGGGAGCTGGGCTCTCACTGCCTGCCCTCCTGAGCAGGAGCAAGCTGAAGCTCAGGATGGCCCGGGGTACAGCAGGCAAGATGCCCTACCTGGGCAGGTGAGGGCTGCCCCCCACCCCCACCGGGCCGGGTGCTCAGGCTTGGCTTCTGTTCTGTTCTCGCCCTCACTCCATCGTGGGCCAGCCACAGAAAGCACCATATGGACTCGCTACTGTTCAGGCCTAGTGTTCACACCACCTCCTGTAGCCTAGCACTGACCCCCAGTGTAAGCCAAGAGCACCTCATGGGGCAGCACTGCCCTGGCCCCCACTGGCTCAGCCGCAGCGTCCTCTCTCCAAACCCTGGAGGGACCCACCCCACCTACCCACGCCTACTCTCAGGTCTATGCCAACCGCAGGGGCCAGCCCACTCCCCTTCTGTCCCAGGCTTCCCCCAGCTCCAGGGGCAGTGCAGGGTACGTGCAGGGGGACCATGTGGTCTGGCCTGGTGACCCCAGGTGGGCCCCTGCCTACTTGCCTTGGGGGCCTCTGTTTGGACAAGAGGCAGCACAAAGCCCAGCCACAGCCCCTAACTCAGAAACCACTGGACAGCCCCCACGGTGCCCACGTCCCTGCAGGCAACATCACAGGAAAGGATACAGTTCTCATCCCCCTGCCGGTTTTTTGGGGGCCCCGGCATGTTCAGCAGGACCAGCTGGGCGTCCTGGGACTTGTTGAGGACGACCCCATTGAGCTTCACGGCCGTGTGCATCCTCCTGACGTTGGACTGGTCCCTGCGGGAGGGGCGGCAGCAGTGGGCAGGAGGCCTTCAGCCTGGCTGACCCACCCCTGGCTCCTGGTGCTAGGCAGGGCCGGGCCAGGAGGATTGTGGCCCAAGGGGTCCCGGGGGGCAGGCCCCTAGGAGAAGCGCTTGGTGGCAGGCAGGGGGGCTCTGGAGCAGCAGGAAGCACCTGCCGGCATTCTAGACTGAACGCCACTGCCACCAGGCCTCTAGTCTACGCAGCGGCTGGTGACTGCAGAGGCACAGGACATCCACAAAGCAGAGCCTGCAGGAGGGAGCAGGTGCGAGGGAGCGGCTGTCCTACAGGCTTGGGAATGGGCACAGGCCTGCGCCTCTCGGGGCTCTGACACAACCCTGCTGAAACCCCTGGCTGAGCGGGTCCAAACGGAGCAGAGGCTCTGGTTCCGGGCAGGGCCAGGGCTCAGGAGGGAAGCGCCCACAGTGCCCCAGCTGACAAGCAGCCACTGCAGGGCGGCTACTCGTAGGCCCCTGCCATGTGGACGGGCTCAGCAGAGAACCTGCAGCCACACCTGGGCCCCTCCAGCCCCGGCCTCAGCCCCTGGGCAATGCTGCACCTTGGCGGATGGTGGACAGGGCTTCCGGCCTTGGTGGTGCAGGCCTGGGTCTGCCCGCAGTGCATTCCCACCGAGTGCTGGTGCTGTGTTCCTCAGCGTCCCTGGTGGCCAGGCCCAGGGGTGACCACGTAACTCTGGGGCACTGTAGACTGGCACAGGCACAGGTAGGCACCCAGAGAACACAGGCCTCACGTCTTTGTTTGCCCACCCTCAACCAGGAGGCCACAGTCCCTTCTCTAGGTAGCCTGGGTCAGCTAGCTGCAGAACTGGCACTCCCAGAAGCCACGTGGAGAAGCCCTTCCACAGAGGACTCCCGCCGCGGTGTTTGTGTCTGGGCTAGAAGACCCAGCCGACATGCTGACCCTGTCATGGGGTAGGACCTGTGCAAGCCTCCGCTAGTCTGCCCACCCAGTGTCCTCCACAGCCTTGTGCAGAGGTCACTTGTGCCCCAGACATAGACAGCCAGGCAGAGGCCACCAGGAGGTCAGGGAAAGGCCCCGTGATGTCCTGTGCTAGCACCCTCTGATCAGCTCGACCAAATACAAGCCTCAAGCCAAATACATCTGCTTACACCCACCACCCACCTGGAGGAAAGAAGGCAGCAGGCCCCTCCCCCTGGAACCTGGCCCGGTCACAGCCGGTCTCCCCATGGCACCCTGGGGGCAGTCACTGTGTGGGCAGGGGGACTCCAGAAGGGCAGGGCGTGCGTCACAGGACTTCCTCAGCCTCAGAGGCCAGGCTGGGTTCCCAGGAGGTGGCCTGTGGAAGTCAGAGGACAGGAGAGGCCTCTGCTCCCAGTGACTGCAGACCCCCAACAGGACATCTGCACCTGGTGGCTCTCCAGACTGTATCTCCAGCTGGGAGCCACAGGGGCAGGACAGGGTGGCCAGGGGCAGAGGAGATGAGGCCAGGTCCACGCCAGCAGGCACACGTATGCACACTCGCGTACACCAGCACGCTCTTACACCAGCATGACACAGAGGTGTGCACATGGGTACACACGAGCGTGCACACAAAGTGTGCTCCAGAGATGCAGTGAGATGTCAGTACACCTCACATCTAGACTGACCCAAAGGGGGGCCCGACCTTGACTTTCCAGAGCATCCTCACCCTTCCCACAGAGGCAAGCCCAAGACTGGAAGGAGTCTCGTGTGTGCATGTGTGTCTGTGTGTGCTGGCACGTGTGTGTGTGCAGGTGCACACACGCATGCACCCAGGTGTGTGCACGTGGGCACAAGGAGGGCCGGGGTCAAACGTGTTCCGGCACCTACTGTTTCTCATTGAGCCATCTGAGGCACCTTCAGGTTCACAGACAGCAGAACCCGGGGCTCCCCACACATCTGCTGGCCTCACTCCCAGTGGCCCCACCTCCCGGCCTCTCCAGTCGCATGGCTGAGGTGCCCTCTCCAGTGCCCAGCTTTGACACTGCCCTGGGCACCACCTGCCTTAAATCCAACAGCCTAGGAGGTCACTGTAGAGGGGATGAGGACCGGCAGACGGGTGGAGGGACAGAGCCGCAGCCCCAGCAGGTCCTGCCAGGATGGCCCCCCCTGGGACTGGCAGCCTGGACCCCAGCTGTGGGCTCACCCCTCAGACCCCTGGCGCTCCTGGTGCTCCTCACAAGCCTGACCACAGCGGGACTCAACCCACACCCCCTCCCTGGAGATGAAGGGGGACGCTCCTGAGGGTGGTCTGGCTGGGGTGTGGGTAGGGTCACTCGCTGTGGCAAGCACATGCCCACCCTGTGCTCCCTCAGGACCAGCCTCGGCTGCCACAGGGATCACTCAGGGAATGACATTCAGCAGGCCCAGGGCCATTCTGAGGAGTGGGCTACACAGGACACACAGGGGCCGAGCACAGACATGCAAGCAACTGGACCGAGGTGGCCCACGTAAAGCGGTGGCAAAGCCGTGAACTTACAGGTTTCCCCATTCTCTAGAGGAAGAAAAACACGGAGAGCACGTTACTCCACGGAACCCCTGCTGGCCACGCCCAGGCTGCACCCCCAGCCAGCAGAACTTGTCCTGGGCCCCTCTGGGGCCTCCCACGGGGCATGTAAAACCCCTCTGCCCTCCTTGAGAACCCGGGCCCCGAGGGTCAGCTCCACCACTGTAGGCTCAGCCGGCCATGGCTGGACACGGGACCAAGCCACATCTGCACCCCCGGGTCCCACTGCAGCCCTAAGGGCCTCGGCCGGGCCCAGGGCTCTTGGCACAGCGCGGGGAGAGGTGGCCCAGAGGCCTGCTGGGGCTCTCAGCTGGTGGAAAGTCGGGCACAACTGAGGTGCTGCAGCCGCGTGCGGCCATCACCAGAGCAGGGCAGCCCCAGGGCTGAGACCTGCCTCACCGCCCAACCCACCGGTGCTGAAAGGCAGCAAGAGGAGTCTCTGTGGACCCGCGGGCCCTGGGGGGGCAGGCGGGGCGCGCGGGGCAGGGGCTGCAGGGCCTGGCTCTGCCCAAGGCCTCACGACACTCACGGCTTCAGGCTGAAGAGGTCTTTGAACCCAGGGGTGCTGGCCTCCTTGCTCCTGTGCTTCTCCGCAATCAGCTTCTCCTTCGTCCAGGTCATCTGCACCTTGTCGGGCACCGACAGGGCCTGGGGCCTGGTGGCCGCCGCGGCATGGGACGCAGTGTTCCTGTCGTGGATCAGCTGGGCCTGGAGGACGTGCAGGGGTCAGCACAGCCAGAGGCTCACCAGAGCTACCCCATGGACAGCAGCTGATGAGCCAGGCTGGCCATGGAAAAGGACTTCAGAGCAGCGGCCCGGAACCCCCGGTCACCCCAGCCCTGGGACAGCAGTCCCCCGGCTCTCAGCGCCGCTCACTCCTCCCGTCTCTGAACGCCCCCCCCGGCCTTGCCTCCCTGTCCTGGCCCCCAAAACCACATGGAGCCGTGGCCCACCACAGAGGGCCAGCCAGGTGCCGGGGCAGGGCCGTCGCGTGACCGGTGACGGCAGGGAGCTGACGCTGACCCCACAGAGCATCACCCCCTCTTACCAAACCTGTGATGCAGGGCTAGGGTGTGAGGCCTGGCAGGTGTGTCCGCAGAGCCCAGGGAGGAGACTGCCTCTCAGGCCGAAGTCAGCTGCCGGCCATTCCGAGTGTGGAGTGGCCAGGAGATGCCAATGCGCAGGTCACACCACCCTGAGGGCCCCGGAGGCCACAGCAGCCCCTCACCAACACCCAAGCCCCAGGCTGTGTGCCACACGCACGGTCATCCATGCAGCCCTGGCCACGTGTGGCTCACCTGCCCAGCACTCCTGCCAGACTCCACGGGCTTCTGGGGGGGCAGGTGCACCTCCCTGACCACTGCCCTCACCCCCACAGACGCCTTCCTGTGTGCATTCCTGGACGCAAGCCCACGCGTTCTGGGAGCGTCTGGCTCAGGCCCCACACACCTCTCTCTCCCGCTCGTTCTTGGACAGCTGCATCTGCTTCAGCATCTGGGACCTCTGCTCCATCACCAAGGTCTTCTCATAGGTGAACGCAGAGATGTCGTTCTCAACCTAGAGATGCACAGCACACAGGTGAGCAGAGCGCCCCAACAGCAGGCACACGGGGTCCCTGACGCTCTGCGGCCTGAGCTGGTGAGCAGCTGAGCCGGAGCCCTGCAGGGCCCCTGGGGACCTGCAGCTGGGCCCCAAGCAGCTTGGGTAGTGTGTGGACCTGAGTGTCAGGTGTGATCGGCAGTCACAGCAGGCAGGCTCTGCTGCCCTGGGCCCCTCCTGGGCCCTCTGCCATCAACATGTGGACAGCAAGAGAGCCTATCTCTACACCCTGACCCAGCACCCAGGGCACAAGGTCCTGGACAGGTCATCCAGCTGGTACCTCGGGGCTCACCAGCAACTCGTGCTGCTTTCTATGACACGCAAGCTCACACCACAAGACCCACAGGGGACGGCACTTAGTGCCACTGCCCAGGGACCCTAGGTTCTGCTCCATGTCCAGAGCAGCCCTGCCCACTGCGCTCACTCTAAACTGCCCATCATCCTGAACCATGGCCATCAAAGGGCCCCACTCCATCAGCTGACGATGTCATCTTGGGCCACTGGTGGGACACAGGACAGTGGCCCTCTGTGGCCCTCTGAGGCAGCCAGCATTGCAGGCTGAGGGATGGGTGGTCACGCCCACAGATGCTGCAGGGTCAGGGGATGTGGCTTGCTCTGCCTGCCTCCCTGCCCAGCCCCTGTGGTCCTGAGGCCTCATCTCCTCAAGCAGCTCTTGTGACATGTGTGCCACTCTTCAGAGCAGCTGGACCCCGAGGGCAAGCCCATACCAGGGCTGCATGAGCTAAGGCCATCATGCAGGCGGCTAGCTCCCAGCAGCTGGATCTTGTCCTGACGCAGATGTGCAGTGCTGGACAGTGAGCCCCGTCGCGAGAACAGGAAGGGGCACTCAACCTGCTCCCGGCCTCAGAAGCTCCTTCAGAGCAGGAGAACCACCAGGGACAACACTGCCCCATGGAGACCGAGAGAAAAACACCAAGGGTCGTCATTGATGCCCGAGGAGATGCTGACCTCACTAGAGATCAGAGGTGCAAATCCAGACAAGATGCTGGAGGCTGTCGGCCAGCACTGGACCTCCGTACCCCCGGCAGGGGCCTGCCCACATCACTACAGCAGGAGCAGAGCCCCTCGGGGGCAGTAGCATGTGGTCCTGCCCAGCAGCTCTACTCCAGACTGGACTGCAGACTCGCCCGAGCTGGGCAGGCCCCATGCTCACTGGGCGTCACCCACCATCAACAACCGGGAATTGTTGGTGTGAACTGCAAAACCGCTACCCCACCCCACCCCCCCCCAAGGGCAACCAGAGGCTCTGGGGGTCAGGTGCCTCACTGCAGGCCACAGCAGCTCAGGGCACCTAGGGTCCAGGGTCCGTGGCTGGGACAGATGCTCCCGTTGCCCAGGCCGCCTCCACACCTCGCTCTCTGGAGGTGCCTGGGACTCAGTAGACACTGTCCACCAAATGACCCATTTGTCCTACACCTTGCCCTACACCAGGCTGACCTCACTGACTGATGACCTGTGTAGACAGAGATGGCTGGTTATTTCCAGTTGTGGGACCGTGAGGCCATCTCCCACCGGTGGCCACACCCAAGGCCTGAGCAGGCTGGAGGCCAGGGGCAGGGAGCACTACGGGTTGCCTGGTGAGGAGGCGTACCTAGGCCACAGACATCAGCCAGAGGCACTGGGGACATTGCACTGTCTCTGCGAGCCCAGCTCTGCAAGCCACACCCAGCCCCACGGCGCCTCAGGCCAGCAGCCACACACACCATCTCCACCACCTCCACCTCGGCGCTGATCCTCAGGTGGTACAGGAACACCTGCAGGTCCTTCTTCATCTGGATGCTGTTGTCGTCCACCTGGGCCACTGTGAAGATGCGCATCCGGCACTTCCGCCACACCTGGGGACGGAGCAGGGGTCCCTAGACCTGGGCAAGCCCTGCCTGCCCCAGCTGCCACGTGCATGGGGAGCCTGGCAGGCATGGCCAACCCCATGCTCCCTGGGTACAGCCCACCTTGAACAGGCACAGCTGCCCCCCCACACCTTGGACTAGGCCCACTTGTGTGGGCACACCCATCCCCCACGATGTCCACGTGTTTTTATGCCCCCCACCTCGTGCTGGCGCAGCAGGAAGGGCATCAGCATGAGCGTGCCCCCCACCCCGCCACCGGGCATTGCCCACCTTGTGCTGGCGCAGCAGGAACGGCAGCAGCATGAGCATGCCCCCATCATGCACTATCCACCACACGTCGATGCTCCCCTCGCTGAAGCGTTCCTGGTTTTGCGGGAACAAGTCAATGTTCTTGGCTACCAGCAAGGCCTGCTGGGCCGCTGTGGTGTCGCGGACAGTGTCTGTGGAGAGAAGTGGCGGCAGCGGGTCACTGAGGGCGGGCTGACCCACAACGGCATGGAGGCAGGGTCTCTATGAATCCCCCGCCCTGGGCAGGCATTGAAAGGCCCTCACATCACCAGGTCCTCCTGGCCCAGATGCAGACACTATGTGTCAGAGGCTGGGGACCCCCAACTTGGGGACAGGGCTCCAGGGAAGGGAGAGCCTCAAGACTGCCCAGTGGCCATTTACTTGTCTGGTGACAGTGTGGCTCAGGCCTTCCATGGCCCCAAGGAACACGCTCGGGCCTGGAGACTGAGACCCGAGTGGGGAGGGACCACACCCAGCAGGGCTGAGGGGTGCTGGCTGCCACACCCACCGACAAAGTTCTTCCAGGAGAAAGGGTTGTCCTCCTGCTTCCAGGACCCGGGCCAGGCCATGAGCACCGTGTTGTGCTTCATGCCCCCCAGGCCGGCCGACTGGATCAGGTGCGACGTGCCGTCCCGCAGGTTGGAGGACACCACCAGCTGGCAGAAGCCCTTGGTCTTCTCCAGGCCCATCAGGAACCGGATGTTCTGCAGGAGATGGAAGGGATGCCTAAGGGCGGCCAGACCAGCACGCACCAGGGGCCCCCACGGGACCCTGGCCTGCAGCCATCAGCTGTGCATGCACAGTGAGGAAGACGGGCACAGCAAGCAGGTGTGCACAACACCACCAGACACAGGTGCCGAGGAGGGTCACCTGCCCCCGGCGGTTCTTCAGAGCAGTGTCGCTCCACATCACCATCAGGGGATCTGGGCCACGGGCCACATGCCCAGCACACAGACACTACCTGAGTGGGTCAGTAGGACCTAATGACTTCTAGAGAAGAATGCGTGGGGGTCCAAGAACAAGAAGCTGGACAATACCACTTTGCTGTCTTTCTGCCAGGGCTGCGTCTGCCCAGCAGCCACCCCCAGCAGCCAGATGTCAAGGGGAGGCTGGACACGCACGATTCATGATATGTACCCCTAAGCCGTGGCTCCTGCCCTAGCCGCTGGACTCCTGGGACCCATGGGGCTGGGCTCTGGCAGGCTGGCTCCAAACTCGTGCTCCTGGTTCCCCCAACCTTGCCCTGTGAACAGTAGTGCCTGCCACGGGGACCCGCTGTCCACATTTCCAGCACGGAGACCCTCCGAGCCGCAGGATACCACCCAGGGGGTGCAGAGGCAGGACTGGATGGGATTGTGGCTGAGCTGACGCAGCAGCAGTTGGACCTTTTGGTGACGTCTCAATGTCATGAACATTTTGCACACATGAGATGTGAACTTGGGGGGTCATAAAGTGGACTGTAGAGGGTTAAATGGTGGCCCCAAAAGAGATGGCTATGTCCCAACCCCAGAACCTGAAGATGTGACCTTATTTGGAAGGTGTCCTTGCAAATGTGGCTGGAACTCTCATGGTGAGAATGCTGATCACCTGCCTGGACCCGAATCCAGCAGCAAGTGTCCGTGTAGGAGTCAGCAGAGACTGGACGCAGAGAAGGGCTGGCAGCAGGGAAAGACGGAGGCCAGACTGGAGGGACCAGCCTGGAGCCAGACACGGCAGGAAGCAGTCTCAGGACGCAGCCTGGCCACCCTGCACCTCAGACACTGTCTGCAGACCCTCGACAAGCTACTGCAGGCCACGTGAGGCTCACGTGGGGGCCACGGCCACCTCTCTGCCTCCTCTGTGCAGTTCCAGCTGCCACCTGCACCAGCCCTGCAGTGACATTACTGGGCTTCTCAGCTCACCGGGGGCTCCCCAGCCACGTACCCAGCAAAACCCTCCTTCTCCCTCCCGCCACCTCCAGGCCTACTCTCTGGATGCCTCTGTCACACACCGACCCCCCAGGGCAGGGCAGAGATGTGGGGACCACAGACATGCTCCCCCTTAGAATTAGCTCAAATCAAAAACTGCCCAACACGCTGCCAAGGGGAGCCGGCCGCGGGCAGCCTGGGGTCTTCAGGGATGGAGCAGGACGCCACCACAGCCGTGTCTCAGCCAGGAGGCCACTGGAGGGCATCGGTGCCCCTGCCGCAGGCTCTGGACAGGTGTCCGCAGACGGGGTTCTGGGCTAGGTGAGCAGCGGGACCATACCACGCCCTCTCCTCGTGCCAGCAGAGCAGGGAAGAGGACTTTGACTCCAGGGTTCTAACGAGTCACACGGAATAGAAGCTTTTGTGACTTAAAGACTTTCTGAAATCGTTCTCGATTTTATGCCACTAACTTAAAGTCTGATGAGAGCACACAGCTCCTAGGGAAAGCATGTCAGCCCCTGGCGCTGGCCTGGGCACAGATGGGCCCTGGACGGCTGCTTCCTGCCTCTGCTGATCAATAAGGAGGCCGGCTCTCAGGGCCACAGGCCTGGGCCTCCACTTGAAGCAAGCACATCCCCCGCTGAGGCCCTTTAAACCCTGAGCTGTCCAGGACCAGGTGTGGCGCAGCAGCAGACGCTGGCATGAGGCCCTGGGTGCCGGCCCCAACACCCCAGAAGAAAGGCCATGGTCAGGTATGGGCCCCGGCCGTTCCTATAACAGGGACAACTGTTGGGCCAGATGCAGGGAGCCACCAGGCTAAGCCACCAGAGGAGCCCCCTGGGACCCGACAGGAGCCGGTCAAGCTCTGGGACAACAGCCCTGGGTTAACTCTGGGTTCACATCAAGGGCAGCCGGGGGCAGACCCCCAGAGTGCCATGAGCTGAGAGCCACTGGCCTCTCCTGCCTCCCCAAAGGCGCTGAGCCTTGGAGCGGCCCGAGGCTGGTGGAGCCTGAGCCCAGGGTTGTCCACAGCCACCCTCTTCCCAGTCTCCCCCCACAGGCCACCAACCTGGGCTGAACTGAGTGCTAGGCTGAGCACGTGGACAGCAGAGGGCACCCTGCAGGACACGCCAGCAAGGTCAGGCACTCCCGGCCCCAGGGAAAAGGTGGACACACCTACTGCCCAGAGGGAACAGCGGAAGGCCTGAGCTGGTCTGGCACCAAGGCTCCACAAGCAGACCCAGTTCCAAATGCAACACGTCACAGGCAGGGGCCAGCAGGTGACAGGACCCGGGCTGCAGAGGCAGCCGAGGCAGGTGGCCCCTATGCCTTGAGGTTTGTGGCTCCCCCAACACACAGGTGCAAAGGTAGGAAATGAAGAACCGTCGTGGGAACCCAGGTGTCACAGAGCCACCAGACCAGGGCCAGAAGGAGTCAGCACAGCACTGAGCCCGGGAGGCGCAGGTCCCACACCCCACCATTCACGGAGCTGGATGGGCAGAATCGGGCAGCGGAGGCCCTCGCTCAGTCAAGCTGGTGGTCAAACCCTGGAGGAAGGCTGGGCTGTGGCGAGGGGCTCCAGGTGCAGAGGTCAAGGCTGGGCAGCCCCTCAGGGGCTCTGCGCTGCATAGGCCTGGGTCCCTCCGGTTCTCACGCCTGCCCCTCAGACCTGCAACCTGCCCTTGTGACGCGAATGGCCCCGCGGCACACAGGACTGTTTCCCCCGTGGAGGCAGAGGGCACACTGGTGGCCCTCCGTGTGCCACACCCCGTCCTCTGCGCACACAGCCACCTGCCCACGCACCTCCTCAGCCTGCTGGGCCTCCAGGTGCTGGTCCAGGTAAGTGCCCTCCAGCACTGAGCCCACGATGGTGAGGCCCTTGCCGGCCTTCAGCTGTGAGGCGAAGGACAGCAGGCGGGGGTGCTTCACACAGCGCTGAGCATCCAGGTTCAACATCACCAACACCTGGGGCCTGAGGGGACAGCAGTGACCACGGCAACATGTAGCTGGACCCAGCCATCAACGGGAAGGGCAGGGGGCGGGAAGGGCAGGCTGTGTCTGAGGTGCCTGGAGCATGAGGCAGGGCCTCCACTACTGGCCACGCAGGCCAGAGCCCGCAGGGCAGGTGACAGCCCCTGGAGGTGAGGTGGTCCACAGGGTGAGCTCACAGCCAGCCGCCACACCCAGAGCAGGGACCAGCAAGGACACTCTGCCCTTCTCCAGCAACTCTGCAGGGGGCCGGTGGGGGGGGTGGGGGGGTACTGGGGACCCACCCTCGTGACCCAGCCTCTGTGGTGGCCCCAGCCTCTGCTGGCCCCAACAAGACCCCGCCCAAGGGCTATGGGCAGAAGCTTTAGGTCAACAGCTTCCAAGTGAGGGTGGCCTTCTTCCTCTCTACCCCCTCAACACGCTCCTCTCTGTCTCCTTTCCTCTCTGCCCCCCCACTCCTCTGCCCCCCCACTCCTCTGCCCTCCCTGCTCTCTGCCCTCCCTCCTCTCTACCCCCCCACTCCTCTGCCCTCCCTCCTCTCTGGCCCCTCCCCTCCTCTCTGCCCCCCCCACTCTTCTGCCCTCCCTCCTCTGCCCTCCCTCCTCTCTTCCCTCCGTCCTCTCTGCCCCCCGACTCCTCTGACCCCCTCCTCTCTGCCCTCCCTCCTCTCTGCCCTCCCTCCTCTCTGCCCCCCTCCTCTCTGCCCTCCCTCCTCTCTGCCCTCCCTCCTCTCTGCCCTCCCTCCTCTCTGCCCTCCGTCCTCTCTGCCCTCCCTCCTCTCTGCCCCCCGACTCCTCTGACCCCCTCCTCTCTGCCCTCCCTCCTCTCTGCCCTCCCTCCTCTCTTCCCTCCCTCCTCTCTGCCCTCCCTCCTCTCTTCCCTCCGTCCTCTCTGCCCTCCCTCCTCTCTGCCCCCCCGACTCCTCTGACCCCCTCCTCTCTGCCCTCCCTCCTCTCTGCCCTCCCTCCTCTCTTCCCTCCGTCCTCTCTGCCCTCCCTCCTCTCTGCCCTCCGTCCTCTCTGCCCTCCCTCCTCTGTGCCCTCCGTCCTCTCTGCCCTCCCTCCTCTCTGCCCTCCCTCCTCTCTGCCCTCCGTCCTCTCTGCCCTCCCTCCTCTCTGCCCTCCCTCCTCTCTGACCTCCCTCCTCTCTGCCCCCCGACTCCTCTGACCCCCTCCTCTCTGCCCTCCCTCCTCTCTGCCCTCCCTCCTCTCTGCCCTCCCTCCTCTCTGCCCTCCCTCCTCTCTGCCCTCCCTCCTCTCTGCCCTCCCTCCTCTCTTCCCTCCGTCCTCTCTGCCCTCCCTCCTCTCTTCCCTCCGTCCTCTCTGCCCTCCCTCCTCTCTGCCCTCCGTCCTCTCTGCCCTCCCTCCTCTCTGCCCTCCCTCCTCTCTTCCCTCCCTCCTCTCTGCCCTCCCTCCTCTCTTCCCTCCCTCCTCTCTGCCCTCCCTCCTCTCTGCCCTCCCTCCTCTCTTCCCTCCGTCCTCTCTGCCCTCCGTCCTCTCTGCCCTCCCTCCTCTCTGCCCTCCCTCCTCTCTGCCCCCCGACTCCTCTGACCCCCTCCTCTCTGCCCTCCTCCTCTCTTCCCTCCGTCCTCTCTGCCCTCCGTCCTCTCTGACCTCCCTCCTCTCTGCCCCCCGACTCCTCTGACCCCCTCCTCTCTGCCCTCCCTCCTCTCTGCCCTCCCTCCTCTCTGCCCTCCGTCCTCTCTGCCCTCCCTCCTCTCTGCCCTCCCTCCTCTCTGCCCTCCGTCCTCTCTTCCCTCCGTCCTCTCTGCCCTCCCTCCTCTCTGCCCTCCCTCCTCTCTGCCCTCCCTCCTCTCTGCCCTCCCTCCTCTCTGCCCTCCCTCCTCTCTGCCCTCCCTCCTCTCTTCCCTCCGTCCTCTCTGCCCTCCCTCCTCTCTGCCCTCCGTCCTCTCTGCCCTCCCTCCTCTCTGCCCTCCCTCCTCTCTTCCCTCCGTCCTCTCTGCCCCCCGACTCCTCTGCCCCCCTCCTCTCTGCCCTCCCTCCTCTCTGCCCTCCCTCCTCTCTGCCCTCCCTCCTCTCTGTCCCCGCTCCTCTCTGCCCCAGGGCTGGGGCCCACTCACCTCCAGTTCTTGGTGTGGGGTGGCCCGTGCTCCAGGCGCAGTAGGGCGTAGCGGGCAGCGTTCAGAGACAGGCCCCTGATGCCGTCTCCCCACTCCTTCTCAGCCCTGTGGGCAGAGCGGGTGCTGGGCCCAGCAGTGCCTCTGGCAGGGCACCCGTGGGGTCTCTGCGACCCTAGTTAACAGATAGGGACACGGGGACCCTGGGGGAACAGGGAGGTGGAAGCAGCAGAGACCAGCCCCTGAGTGGGACTGACCCACAGTGCCATCAGGGACAGAGGGCAGTTCAAGTGATGGAAATGGTGCTCTGAAGAGCAGACAGTGACCTTGGGCACAGCTGCCCAGGGACCCCAGCCCTTTCCAGCTGCCAGGAAAGAAAGGGAGGGCAACTCTGCCCTGGCACCCACCTCCATCAGGGCCAGGTGGGCCATCCAACAGGCTGGGTCTCCTGGGAAAGCCCAGAGGGCCAGGAGCCGGGATACAGAAGGGGCCGGACCTGACCACAACAGGTCAGAGTTCAAGAGGAAGAAGGCCACCACGTGGGCCACGGTGGCTACCTCACTTTCTCAAGCAGCCCACGCTGTGCCAGGCTGGTTTCGGGACTTTGGTCAGGGAAGCCACAGAGGCAGGTCACGGCTGTGCGGGGCGCCACTCACCCGCGGTACTCGATGTACTTGTAGATGCAGCCGGCGATGAGCATGGCGAAGAGGGCATAGTACCAGGAGCAGATGAACATCAGGGCCAGGCACAGGCTCATGCCGAGGAAGGACAGCGTCCTGGGGGGCACACAGCTCAGGTGCCGCTGCCCAGCTCCTGGTCCAGCACCCGTGCGGCTGCCCACAGAAACTGCCCTTCCCTTCATGACCCTTCCTACGTGCTGGGAAAACATGCTGGCCACCTGCCTGTCGGGCCCTCCCAGTCCAGGCTGACCACAGGTGGGCCCAAGAGGCCCACATGTGTCCTGGGGTGGACAAAGAGCATGGAGGCAGACAGGCCACAGGCTCTGGGCTTTGCAGGCTGGTTCTACAGGGCAACGGGGGCTCCGGCCCAGGCCACCGCCAGCCTTGAGGTATCCTTACCAGTGGTAGAACTTGAAGCGTGGACGCCAGTTGGGCGTTCGCAGCAGGGTCTGCACGGCGCAGGCCAGGTTCACAAACATGTAGCACATAAGGAAGAACCTGCAGCAGGTGGGCAGCACAAGGGGCCACCGACCCCTCAGCCAACGGTGGCCCCAACCGGCTGCCCTGTCCACACTCTGCTCACTACTGCACTCCTCGGGGTCCCCTGTCCACACCATGGTCCCCCCACCATGGGAGTGTCACTGCATCCTCAAGTCCAGCTCCAGTAGCTGACCGGCCTCGTGGACACATCCCACCCTGCCACCGACAGCCACGTGTTGCACAGCCCTGGTGTCCACCACAGCAGCCTTCAGTCAGCCACGCAGCCTTGGTTGACCAGACAGCTCGGCACCCACGTGACCCTGTGGCCTGCTGCCCTGCTGTCCTCTGCACCTTCCCGAATGCATGGTAGCCCTGTGCCCTCACGGGGCCACTCACATGGACAGGATGGGGGCCACACTGTCCAGGGAGGCAATGAGGATGCCCATTTCACAGATGAGGGTTGTGAGCAGCAGGGCCCAGGTGGGCTCCCCGTTGGCCTTCCCATGTCCGAACACCTGCGGGGAGGAGGCACATGGGCTGGGGGCAGGAAGGGTCTCCCTCGGGTGAGCCACCCAGCGCCCGCCAGCAGGGGCCGCCAAAGATGGAAGACCAGAAGCCCAACCTCCACAACCCATCACCAAGACAGAAGTCCCAACAAGGAGAAGCTCTGATAGCCAGCCCATGACACCTCGAGCTCAGACGTCAGCCTCCATAGCTCAGAGAAAATAATCTTTTCTCCTGTGTGTGCACACGTGCACTGGGGCCCGGGGACCACTAAGGATGGACCCAGGTCCCACTCATGCTGGATAAGCACTACCGCTGACTGTCCCCCTGACCTTTTATTTTGAGGTCTAACGGCAGGTGTGGTGCAGTCCAGTGGCCCAGTCACTCATCTGCATGCCACCAACTTCCTATGCTCTGCAGGAGGTCCCCAGACACCCAGGCCCTGGCTGACGTGCAGTGGGACAGCAGGGAGCGTCCCCCTCAGGCGAGGAGGACCAACATGGGCCTCACGGCTGCTCGCAGAATAAATCTCAGAGGCATCTGCAGGCCTAGAGGGCAGGGGCTGCTCTGCCCACCACACCACGCACTTAGCCCACCATCCAGAGGGATAGTGACCACTAGTTGGGGTGGAACACGTGTCTACTCTCTTTACCCTAAGGGTTAGGGTTAGGGTTAGGGAGCAGACCCTCGGGGACCCTCACACACAGGACCCTGACCTTCCCAGGGCTCCTTCCCTCAGCAAGACACCTGATGTCTACCTACCACAGCCTGGGCCAAGGGCTCACCTGCAGGAAGGGGACGATGCCATCACGGGCGATAGCCTGCAGCAGACGGGGCGCCCCCGTCAGGCTCTGCAGGCCAGCACCACAGGTGGAGAAGAAGGAGCCGATGACAATGACCCAGGGGGACGGCCAGGCCAGCATGCCGATGACCAGGTTCCCTTGCAGGGCTTCCCCAAACCTGTGAGCAAGCAGGGTGGGCAGCTGGTACAGCTTCCAAAGGACGAATCAGAGACCCTGACCCCAAGTGAGTGGGACCTGGTGGAAGGGCAGGGGGGCTCCTCAGGGGGAAAGTCAGGCCCAAGACCCCTCCCGACCAGAGACCCCACCAGGACCCTGAGGGGTTCTGGTGTCTAGGGCACCGCTCGCTGCCGGGCCACGCCTCACGGGCCGGGCAGCACCAGCCTCCTGTCGGCAACCCAGCAAGGCCCCGAGGCCTCCACTCACTGCTCCCCACCCAGCAGCCGCACCTCACCATCCTGGACCTGTGCCCCCACGCCCCAGCCCGCCAGGCACCGTGGCTGCACCCTGCGGCTCCCCAGGCTCTGGGCCCAAGCTGGGGCCTTGTTAGCGCTTCGGTCAGGCCGAGGGTGCCCAACCCCAGCACAAGGGCTCTCAGCTCAGACGCGGAGCTGAGACGCTCTAGGAAGGTTGATTTTAAAGCTGAAGCTGCCCTCAGGAAAGAGGGTGCTGACCACACACGCCTGCCCAAGCCTCTGTGGAAACCAACGTACTTATCTCGCAAGACCACGCCTTCAATGCAGGCCCCAAAAAGCACTATGCAGGAGAGATCTGCAGCCAGGTCAAGGTCGGTCAGTCCAGAGTGATAGCACAGCAGGCCGCGGGGGAGGGTGGCCCACTGGCCAGCAGGGCCCACCCCAGGCTCCAAGTGGGCCTCCTGGGCCAGCGTTCCCAGAGTCCCATCCCCACACCCTGACCCGCTGCTGTGCCCAGACCCCATGTCTTCAGGCCTCCCCTGTCTCCATCTCTGTCTGGGGCTCCAGGGGTCAGGGTGCACTTGGCCTGCAGCATGTGCTCTGGGGAACAGCAGGAGGCCTGGCAGGAGGTGGACCTCGGCTCGAAGGAAGACGCCTGGAGTCCTAGCCCACTCGGGTCGGTGTGCACACCAGTCACCATCAGCTGTGGCCACACACGTTCCGTCAGACATGACAGTGTGGGTTGCCAAGCCAAAGGTCAACATTGTGGCACATGGCCACCCTGAGGGAATCCAGCTGTCACGCTTGGTTGGGCGCATCGCACCACAGCACCCACAGCACCAGGGAGGGCAGAGGCACGGCCAGGACCCACCAGACCTGGAAAGCCCCCCGCAGGCTGCTGCTGTGTAAGTGGGGAGGCCAGCGTCCACTCAAGGATACAGATAAAAGACGTGGTTACAATGGCCAAGATGGTCCCTGTGGGGATGGACTTCTGGGCGTCCCTGAGGTCCCCGGAACGGTTGGATCCTGCCATGATACCTGCAGAGGCAGACAGGAGGAGTGGCGTAACAGGCAGCCCTGGCGAGGCACGCCCGAGGCCCTCAGCAAGGGCCGGCCAGGCCACAGCTGCCCCCAGAGGCACCCGCAGCCGCTGCACTACGGACAAGCCGGCCCAGAGGGCCCAGGCCTCCTCTCTCCACTCCGCAAGATGGCCGCTACAGGGGCCAGGCTGAGGACCCCAGATGCCCTCTGCGGGAGACGGAGGTCTCAAAAACCTCCTCCAAGCTGCAAAGCGGGGCCAGCGGGGCCCCAACATGCCCAGGATCCTGCCACCTCAGTTCACCCTCGGGGTCCCAGGTCACAGACTCCAGAAGTGGAGCCCAGTGCTGACTGACTTGCAGCCTGATGGCACCCAGGGTTGCAGGCACATGGCCCTGAGACAGCTCCGGCCTTGCTAGGCTGCCCTCAGTCAGCCCTCTCCCACCCGACCCCCAGGAGCAGCCACCCAGGGCCTGCCGCTGCCCCAGCCGCACCAGCAGCTGCACCGCAGCCTGTGTGGGGGGAAGCCCAGCTGCCGTGGGCCCACGCACCCAAGGCACGCCTGGCTGGCCTGCACCAAGAAGGCACTGCAGGGCCGTGCAGACCCGGGTGGGGCGCCCCCAACCCAGCAGCCACCTTGGGCCACTGAGCTCGTTCCTGGGGGCTCTGCACCGGCGGGGGAGCGGAGCACAGGGAGGGACGGGGAGGACAGGAGGCTCACCCGTCACGGAGGGGAAGTAGATGCCCACGAGCATGGTGAAGTAGGTCATGATGTCCGTGAGGACGTACGGCAGCCCGCTGGCCCGGCTCTCCTCGGACACAGGCACGGACGGCACGCCCTCCTTCTCCACAAATGCCCCCTTATCCGAGTACGCGCTCCACAGGTTATCTGCAGGAAGAACAGATCAGGCAAGGATACGTCCTCCGAGATTCTGGAACCCTCTGTCAGGGCTCCTGGGGCCACACAGGCCACCACGGAGGCCTGGGAAGGCTCACACTCTCCCCAGGTCCACCTTTAAAGGAGGCTGCCCAGTGGGAACCACATCTGGGAACCCCCTCCCCAAACCTCTGAGCCAAGACTCCAGCACTGCAGGAAAGCTCACACATGCCCCAGATGGCACCTCGCCCTGCACCACTAAGTACAGGGAGGACCCAGGCCTGCACAGCGCTGACCAGGCGCTCCAGGGACCCCACTATCTGCAGACCTCCCAGGCAGACCCCAGCTGGGCCAGCACAGGTTCATGCCACCTGCATACACTGTAGGCCCTCCCCACAGGGGAGACTTCATGGCCAGACTTGCCCCTCTGTGCCCCACAAAGCCCCCGCCGAGGCCTGTACAGAGGGCCGCCTCCTAGGGGCTGAGGAGAGGCTCCAGCACGGACACATACAGTCCCAGCCAAACACGACAGGGCGGCCGCAGCCCAGTGCCAGGGGACAGCTCACGCTGTCCCCCACACACCAGGCCCGTCCCAGGGGCAGGGGTACAGACAACCACCAGCCTGGAGCCAACTTGCTGGCCTAACACACATGCGGCTTCTTTGGCTCGGGGAGGGTCGGGGGCCGCACGGGAGCCCACAGGCTGGTCGGCAGCAGCTGGGGAGGGCTGGCCATCCTGGCCATGTCCACAGGATAGCACCCTGCACCCTTCCCTGGCCGGACCCGCCCTCCTTACCCAGGAGGACACCGCTGGCCACACCAGGGATGCCCTGGATCTCAGTGACATTGTTCTGCACAAAGTACTCGTCGCAGGAGGCGCTGGGGCTGGAGCTGTTGCAGAAGAGGCTCCAGAGCGCGGTGGTCACCGTGCCGTTGCTGGCGATGTGCGTCTTGGCACAGGCCTCGAAGCTGCGCTTTGCAAGGGTGCGGTTCCCGAGCAGGCAGACCCTGCACGGGGAGGCAGACCCCCATCTCACCACTTCCACAGCTGACTACAGGAGGCTCCCGAGGGCTCTGATGTGCCACAGCCACCATGGCAGCACCTGCTCCAGCTGCAGCAGCTCAGGACTCTTAGGGGCTCCCAGCCCAGTGCCAGGGTCCAGTCCAGTCCTGCCCCAGTCCCTACCAGCCCAGGCCCTGGGCCCCACTCGGCCAGCCCACAGGGCCAGTGCTCCACGGATGGGTGGGGGCCCGGCCTACAGGCCCACTTGCTCTCTGACGCTGGCCACCCCCCGCAACCTCCTCCTCCACGAGGGAGACAAGGAAAGGGCCCAACAGGAGGGCCTTCCATGAGGGTGCAGGAAGACTCTGGAGAAGCCCGCTGCCCAGTGGTCCACAGGGCTGCCGGCCACCAGTGGTGAGCCGGGCCTGCACCAGCCTCCGTCCCTATGGTGTGCCCAGACCCGCTACCTGCACAGGGACCGGCGGCACCCCAGCTTCCTCCAGGGAAGGAGGGACCGCCCGGGGCCACGCCCAGCCTGGAGAACAGCCGAGGCCTGGGCTGAGGGCAGAGGCTGCAGAACCCGAGGGCCTCCCCTGCCAGGGCCACGGCCAGCGGCCCCCACTCACGGGATGTCGGGCGGGTCGAAGGCCGTCTTGATGACACCGGCATAGATGGCCAGGATGGAGAGCACCACGCAGGCCAGGAAGACCAGGGCCAGCTTGTTGACGTACTTCACGCCCACGAAGACCACCATGGCCATGAGGGCCAGCGTGCAGCTGCCGTACACACGCATGTTGTTCAGCAGCGCCGCGGCCTCGCTGCCCGCCTCCGTGGCCTGGAAGACGGCCGCGCTGGGGGAGATGTAGGTCTGCAGGGAGCGAGGCAGCTCAGCAAGGCCCAGAGGGCCCCCCGTCCAGGACCCCACACAGGGGCTTCGCACAGACCCCTTGGAGCCTCAGAGAAAGCACGTCAGGCACTGAGACACGAGGACCCTGGGGGAGGCCCACTGCACAGATCACAGGCAGTGGACACGGCCCCAGGCCCCATGTCCTTGAGTCACTCCTGACAACTGGGCCAGCCTGCGACCTGTGGTGTTTCCAGGACCAGGATAAGACTGCCCTTCACCTTCCAGAGGCCAGCGTGGCGAGGGGGGGGGTCCCAGCCACAGCCCTAGGAGAGGCAGGGCAGCTCACTGTCCTGCACTGTGGCTGCTCTAACTGGCTGCAGCCTCCAGAGAGCCACCAGGTGGCCAGCCTGCCACCTGGCAGCCCCACCTGGGACTTGACTAGGACCAGCAGACACTGGCCAGGCAGAGGGCGACAGTCCAGAGCCTAGCTGCCTGGGTATGGCCCAGCACCAACTGGTGCATGAGGAACTTGTTAGAAATGTAACAGTGTCCACTTTATGCTCCGAATACAGCCCTTGCTGCTCGGGCCATCTCAGGGGAAACTCATTACCTTTCTTCCCATCCCAGGCAGAGTGACCTGTCCCTGAGCACACACCCACCATAGGGATGAAGTCATCCAGACTTGGGGGTGGCACCAGAAGATTCAGAAATGACTGTCTCCCAAATTAACAAGTGGATCACACTCCAACAGAGAACACGGGAATGTAGCCCTTGAGTCACCCTTTAACTGCCCCTGGTCCTGCTGAGGGGCAGAATCACAGCCTCTGGGACAGGAGCCCCCTGTGTCTCTCCTTTGCTAGCAGAGCAATAAACCTTCTTTTCCCTTTTTCTCAAAACCATGTCCTCTTTACTGGATTGGCATCGGGAACAAGGACCCAGCTTTGGGTACCAGCAGCAGTCCCAGGCCCTGGCCCAGACCTGAATCAGAATGTGTGGGAGCCCAGGCTCCGTGTTCCCCCTGTGAGAAGGCAGGAGGGCCTCCTCTGCAGGGCAGCCGCTCAGGCAGAGGCCAGCCCAGCCCCAGCTCTGGGATCCAGCAAGCAGGGGCAGGGCAAGCACTCCAACTCCAACCTGGGGAAAGCCTTGCACTGAGGATGCCGACCACCAGCCAGCGGCAGCCGCTGAGCAAACACACCGCCCAGAAGGCGCATCCAGAAGCAGGGACAACAGGGGTGGGGCCAGGATCCTGTCAGGGGCCGCGCAGGGGGGTTCCAGGCCTCTCTCCTGAGCGCACAGACCACAAGGCCACACTGCCACCCAGGGCTCAGACGCTTGGGAAGCACCAGGTGCTCCTCACAGAGAGGACGTGAGGGCGTCCCGAGGGACACCTGCCACAGCAGAGAGCTGGCACCCAGTGCTCCATCCACAGCCCAAGGCAAGGGGGCAGGGGTCCGGCTCTGGAGGCGTGCAGGGCAGGGCACAGTCAGAGGGGCAGCATGGTGCCAAGGGGGAGGCGTGGATGGTGCCCTTTCAGCAGCATGCAAACCGGTCCCTGGGCGGAATGCCTTGGCAAGGGACCACTGCAAACCGCAGACTCACCAAGAAGATCTCAATGGTGCCCAGGATGTACATGGCGCCTGCAAAGGTGGTGCCCAGGTAGAAGCAGAGACCCACGGCCCCTCCAAACTCAGGCCCCAGTGAGCGGGATATCATGTAGTACGAACCTCCAGCTACAAGCAGCAGAGAGAGCAGCCCATCAGGGAGCGCACCCCTGGGGAGCAGATGGCAAAGCGTGGCCCTGCGGAGGGACATGGCCCAGTCCCACCCTCCAAACTGCAGGGGACCCTGAGCCCTGGTGCCAGCCCTCCTGTGGAAAGAGGATGGCGTGGGTGGCAGTCAAGAGCCACTACACTCAGAGTCCAAGTGGCTCCCACCAAGAGGTCCATGGGACTTTAGTTAAAAAAAGAAATCAGGGAGCCAAGGTCCTTGGGGAGCTGCTTGGTGCGTTCTGCGTCACCCTAAAGAGTCCTCAGGGCCTGCCACCCCTCCCTGGTCTGTCCACCAACAAGTGGGTGGACTCAGACCCTCACACCTCAGCAGGACACCAGGAAGGTCCAGAGCACTCCTGGGGTGCACCCTCCCCACCCCAATCCAGCCCGCACCTCCCTCCCCAGGCAGCACCCTGGCCAGGCCACGGAGCTTTGTGCCTGAGCTGAGCCAGCAGAGGCTGGGAGAGGGCAGAAAGCCAGGGCCCCAGTGCAAAGCAAGCTCAGCTGCCCACAGAGGGACACGGGGGGCAGCGGGTGGTCACCACCCGGGCTGTGAACTGACGTGCTCGTTAATCATCACGCGTGTGTCCGCTAGCACGTCACCATTTATTCATCTGGAGGGGGCATCCCGCTGCCCCTCTAGCTGGGACAGACCTTCGCAGGACGCAGGCCCCAGGCTGCAGGCCTTCCAGACCCCATTCTGCCCACACTCCCTGCAGGGGTGACTACATGGTGACGCAGGGACAAGTGAACAGGTGGGACTCCACGGGCTCAAGTGACAAAGAGAAGCAAGAAGGAACAGGACCAGGCCAGCCCGCACACAGGCGTCCCCACGCCCGGGGCTGGGCCATCTCGCCTGCTTAGTACTACTGCATGCTCAAGAACCATGGTCCACGGCACGTTAAAACTCAGAACCAAAAAGGCCTTGGGCCCATGGTGAGCACCCGCCTCTGTCCAGAGAGCAGAGGCCGAGTCCAGCACCTTCCAAGCCCGCTCCAGCAAGCAGCCAAGACAGCAGCACTCACAGATGCAGCAACACACCTGCCCCGGCCCGGGCAGGGCACTGGAGGCCAGCCACTGCCCGCACACAGGGCAGCATGGCTTCCAAGAGAGCCCAGGCTGCCTCGTGGACACAAAACGCCATCCTCAGTCACAGAGGACAGCAGGCAGGTAGAGGTGTGTCTGCACTGGGGCCCCTGAGAACAGGGCCCAGGTTGTGCCATCCCTGAGCAGCACAATGCCCAGGCCACCCTCAGTCGAAGGGTTAAGGTCCAAGTCACCATCACCATGAAGCAGACAGGACTCGACCTCCATGTGCACGTGGCTCAGGTACCACACTGTGCAAGACTCCTCCAGACCAAGGGCAGGCGCCCCTTACCTGGGACCACACCATTGGTAGCGATGGCACTCATGGAGATGGCGGTCAGCATCGTCTGTAGAGAGACAGGCAGCCTTGGAGGACAACTCCAAGCTGCCCCAGGCACAGACCCTGGGCTGCCTGGGGCCCAGCCACTCACTCCGGGGCTCCTCATCTCAGAGAGACCACTGAGTGACCAGATCAAGAGGCGCAGGCCCTGCCACTGCCTTCTCCTGCCCGCCACAGAGCTTCACCTCGCACCCACAGGCGGACCTTGGATTGGGACACTGCCCAGCCCTAAAGGCAGGGTCCATCTAGGTGTCCACCTCCTCTAGGGACCCAGACAGGGGTCCACCTATGCCTACTCATGGACACAGGAACACCTCCTCTAGGTGTGTACCCAGGAGGGTACAGGTGGCCCCATCTAGTGCCCACTTCCCCGGGGGGAGCCATGGTGTCCAGTTAGCCAGGGAGGGCCTGCCTCCAGCTACCCGTCCCTGCTGAGGAGAGCCTGTCTCTGGGCACCAGGAGTGACCAGCTGGGACAGACAGCAAGGTCTGGGGCGGGGGGCGTTAAAGAAGACTCCTGCTCGGCTGTGCTGCGGAGTCCTTCCCAGAGAGGGCACCCCCAGGTCACCCCGTGACTAGAGCAGCTCTTCCTAACCAGAGCAGGGGAGAGGAGCTGGGCTGGAGGGCTGGGCACCCAGAGGACCAACCGGACGAGGCAGCCGTGGTGGCAGAGAAGCAAGCGCAGGGAGGCAGAAGCCCTGGCGCCCCACATCTGGCCTGAAGGGGTGACGAGCCTGGGTCCTGGTCCCTACAACGGGGACCTGGAAGTGCCTGAGGCCCTTCTGAACTGGACAGCAACCTTGCAAAACCACAGGTCCTGCTGATGGGGACAGACCCGTGGCATCCTGGCGACACTGGCACGTGACACGGGGGTGGGGGCTGTAAGCTCCCCACAGTGTGCCGGGCAAGGCTCCGTGGGACCATGGCCAGCTTCTCCCAGGACCTCCCGCCCCTGGACAGAGCCCCAGCTGGACGCAGAGGGACCCAGCACCATGAAGGCTCCCGTGGGCAAGGACACCACCCCCAGGCCTCCAGGAAGACCGGCCACTCACGCAGGTGCAGCACAGGGAGACGATGAGGAAGGACTCCAGCACGCCGGCCGCGCCCACGATCCACGTCAGGCGCAGGAAGAGGATGACGCCCAGGATGTTCTGCAGGCAGGGCAGGTAGACGCCGATGAAGGTGCCCATGCGCGGGGCCTGCAAGAGAGCACTGCTATCCGGGGAGCCCGCCCAGGCGGACTCGTGGTCATGGGGTGGCAGCCATGGGGTGGAAGGGAGCCCCAGGCCCTGTGACCCCAAGGCCCTGGGGGTCCTGGGCGCACGGGAAACTCTGGTCTGAGAGTAGGAGCCTAGTTCTGAGCCCCGGGATGACCCGGCAGTGAGGCCCCCGCTGGGCTGGGCAGCTGCACATAAGGAAGCCGGGCCAGGGCAGAGCTCGCCCACACCTCCCGCCACAGGCCTGGGTGACAGCATTTGTGGTGCAGGTGACAGAGGTGGTTTCGCTCTGAGCTCTGCAAGTCAAGTGGGCAGAGAAAGGCGTTGGGATTCTCAGCTGGGAAAAAGCAAGAACGGTGTACAATGCCCCAGGCACAAGGCCACGGCCGACCCCAGGAAGGCTGACCCAGGGTGTGGATGGCCCACGGCCCCTGGACACAGAGCAGCCCTCCAGGCAGAGGCACGCTGGGACAGCTCCAGGTCCTAGCACCCTGGAGCTCGCCCTGTGGCCAGCGCCGGGACCCGCGTCTTCTGGAAGCTCTCTAGTCCTGAAAGGCGCTTGCAGAGGTCCATCGACCAGTCACAGCTCAGGAGATGGACATGCTGAGAAGGTGCCCAGACCGATGGATGGTCCTGGCTGGAAGCCAGTGTCCGCCTCCAAACAAGCTGTGTGCTCGGCGGGGGGACCAGGGAAGCCCCAGCCCCTCCATCCCAGGACCTCACCGGTCCCCTGAGCAGGGTGACCACCTCAGGACACAGGGGCTCTGCAGAGAAGCACAGGTGGCCCTGTCCTGGCATCGACTGAAACTTAGCCCAGGGACCAGCACCACATCCTCAAGCGCACTGCAGCCAGAGCTGGGTGCCTGGGGCAGGATGGGACGTCCTAGGGCCTGACCTGGGCATCCTGTACACAGTCCACCAACTGGACACTTGCCCAAGAGCTCGATGGGAGGAGCCGGGCACTTTCCCTGGGGATCAGGCAGGCGCCCTTCCCGCTGAGCGGCTCCACAGAGCGGAGGCTGCGGGCTGCAGGCAGGAGTGTTCAGACCAGGCCCCACACACCGCACGGGTCAAGGTGTCCCCGACACAGGTTCCAGGAGACAGGATGGGGGACAGACAGGCCTGCGTCCTGAGGCCACTTGCATGTCCCGAGGCAGTGCCGGGGCAGGGACGAAACCCCAGAACACACTCAGGCACCAATCCCCACCATGACTCCTTCCCCCGTGCAAAGTCTGTACCCGGCAGTGGGGCAGGCCCCGGCAGGGGACCGCAGGAGGTGTGGTCCAGAGGCTCCTGAGGACACTGCCCCGTGCCTGCCCCCGGGGGTCACGTGGCCGGGTCCCCACAGCCCATAGTCCCACGTCTCAGAATCGCGGTGCTGGCTCTGCCATGTTTATGGTAAGAGGAAGGAAGGGGGACGTCCGGCACTTTGTAAAGGCCTGACTTCCCAGGGATGTGGAGGCCAAGGTCAGGCTGGACGCTCACGGGGGAGGCGTTCAGGATGTGGCTGGGGAGGGCCTCCGGCCGTTGCACACCCTGGGGCCTTGGCCGTCACCCCCACAGGGGGACCAGAGGGATGGAAGCACCCAGCTCCTGCCTCTGCAGCCCTCCTGGCACCGCAGACCCCACCCTCCATAGGAAACTGGGCCTTGGTGGGCTGAGAGCGAGTGGACAGTCTCCTCCCGGCCCGGCTGGGGGAGCCCGTGCCGACCCGGGACGCTGGCTTCTGAGGAGCCTGGGGCTCCTGACCGGTCAAGCCCTCCTGTCCTTAGGAGGTGGGCCTGCTCCAAAGGCTCTGTGTTGGATCTGTTTGCAAGAAGCCGAGGGAAGGGGGATGCGCGGACACCTGCGTGGATCTGGGCCTCTGCCCCAGGGGTCTGCGGCCCTCCCGGGGCCAACCCGCGTCACTGCTGAGGCACCCGTCCTGAGCCCAGGGACCTGTCCTCCTGTGGCTCCCACATTCAAAAGACCAGACCCCCCTGGAGCCGTCCCCCATGAGAACCCTCCCTGGGGCTCCACTCTTCCTGAGGAGGGATTCCTAGGGAGAAATCCTCAAGCAATGCATCCTGGGAAAAGGCCATTAGGCTGGGGCAGTGGCTGAGGGGGAACGGTGAGGGCGGAGGGCAGGGAACAGAGGGCAGAGGATGGGGGCGGAGGGCAGGGGGCAGAAGGGAGAGAAGAGAGGGCAGAAGGCAGCCCTGCAGGACCCTGGGCAGAGGGGAAGAAGGCCACTCCCCTCTGGGCTGCAGTCTGGACAGACTCAGGTGGGAGGGCACAACCTGACCACACCCAGGTGTAGCCCATGTTCTAGGTGTCCCGAGGGGAGCGAAGGTGACAGGCACCTGGAGAAAGAAAGGCTGATCTGCCGTGACACTGAGCGCATCCTGACTAGACACTGCCAGGGCTGCCTGCGGCCAGCGGTCAGCATGGGCGGGGACAAGGCGGCAGGTGCAGGCGGCAGGGCAGCGTGGCGGTACCTTGGCCTCCCTCCGCCGGCTGTCCTCGTCCTCCTCGTGCTCCACCACGCCCTGGCTCAGGTTGGTGTAGTTGGCCAGCTTGTTCAGCAGGGAGGACACCATGGGGTTGCTGTCCATCTCCTCCTGTGAGGTGGGAAGGGCCAGGCACAGGCACGTGAGTCAGGTCCTCCGACACCCCAGGCCAGCAGGCCCCTCTGCCCACCGCTGGTGCCGAGCCACAGGCTGCAAGGAGCCAGAGGCCCTGGTGGCCTGCCCAGCAGGCTTGAGTCGGGTCAGCACGGAGTAGGGCCAGGGGACCCCGCACCCACGGGGGGGCCAGGGCCCTTGAGATGGTCTGGGCTTGGGGTTCAAAGGGCTCCCAGAGGGCAAGCAGCCCAGACCAGGGGCCCCGGAGGGCACCTGGCATCTGTGTGCTGAGGGCTGCAAGAAGCCCGGGCAGGGCTGCCCAGCTACTGCCCACCAGCGTGAAGAGGGGGATGGCTGTGGCCTTGGACCCGCGCCCATGGCCAGCCTGGGACTGCTTTACTTTTGTGGGTGAAAGGCACTGCCCTGAGCACCTAAAGTTACCTCAAAAAGCGCCATGTTCTTCCCTTCCAAGTGACTCTCTCTCTCCAGCTCCACGCTGTTGAGGAAAGGGCTGCTCTCCCTGGGGTTCCCATCTCCTGCAGGAAAGGTCAGCGTCCCTCTCAGCACCACCCTCAGCCCCTCTCAGGGCCAAGGGCGACGTGGGCTATGGCGAACTCTCCTTCTGGCCGCACGTCCACATCCCGAGGTTCCCGGGATGCTCCCCCTCACCCCAGCGTGGTCACATGGCCGTGCGTCCCCAGCCTCAAGGGTCTCCCGTTTGACCTAGGGTCAGTAAAGTTCTCTCCTTCAACCATCAGAGCTACTTTCCTGGCCCTCGCTGCTGGCCCACTGCCCTCCCTGGGGTTGGGGGGCTCCTGGCGAGTTCCAGGACTCCTGGTAGGCCTTGACCCCAAGCTCAGAAGCTGGGGGAGGCTGGACCTGTCACCCCCAGCAGAAACTGGATGGGTCAGGACCTCTGGTCACCAGACTGCAGGTGCCGGGAGCCTGAGGTCACAGGCATCCTCAGACCAGAGCACCAGACCCTCTCTGCCTCTGACCTCCAACCCCACAGGCGGTGTCACCAGCCCGGCCCACCCCTGGGGGCTACTGAACAGCACACGCAGGACTCCTGGAAGGGGACGCATCCTGGATTACCACACTCCAGCCACAAGAAATCAGGGCAACCGTCCCCAGGCCATGCCGTGCCCTGCCCAGGACAAACCCTAGTGGCCCGGATGGTGAGAGGCAATCCTGGATGGTGAGAGGCGATCCCGGGCACCCGCTGCCTCCTTGGGTCCCTGGAGTGCGAGACTCGCCATCCCCGGGGACAAGCACAAGCTTGTGCTGCCAGGTGGTCCTCTAGCCCAAGAACTGCCTCGGGTCCCCACGCACAAGATGGGACCCAAACCACGTGATGACCTCAGCGACCGCCCCTGCCAGGCACACTGTGACCACTTAGGAAACTGGCCGGACTGGACCATGGGAGGGGCTGGGCAGCACTCCTCCAGGACCCCCAGGCCCCTGCGTTCACCTCGTGCCTGGCGGGAAGGTGCAGGGAGGCAGCGGGAGCTGCCGGGGTGGCCCTGAGCATGCAGGGGTGGGAGACCAGGAACAGGTTCAGCAACAGGAGGGGATGCCCCGGGGAGGCTATGCCAGGGCCCAGGACCCTGTGGGGTGCCCACAGAGGCACCCCATGGAAGGCGGGAGGCTCTGGCTCACCCTGGCAGGCGGGTCCCCAGCCGCCCCCCCCACCAAGCCCAGAGCTCATGCCTGGAGGGGCTCAGACCCAACTGGGACCCTCCAGGGAAGGCCCAGCAGCAGGCCCTGATCTCAGCCCAACCTCCAGGGACTCGGTCACGTCACAGTCCTGGAAGAAAGGGGCTACACGTGGGGGACCCAACTCCAGTGGCTGCAGTGACCCACTGGAAGGCCCTGGGCACTGCAGGAGGCCTCTGTTTAGGGACAGGGGCATGCGGTTGGGCACACAAGGTGTTGAGGGTGTCCCACTGCAAGATGATCACTAGAGCTCCTGGGCAGTGAGGTCTAGCGGTGCACAGAGGAAGCGCATCTCAAGGCTGACAGACCAGAGGTGGCGCCCCCTGGGAGCCCTAGGAACACAAAGACAAAGGGTCCAGGGGGCACCCAGAGGTGAACCACAACTGCAGGGCGGGTCAGCACCTTGCCCGGTGCGCACAGGCCACCCGTTCCTGCCAGGGTGTCTGCTTGTTGGGCCCCCACACAGCCCTCAGCTGGACCTGGTCGTGAGGTGCCTCTGTGCTTTTCTGACACACTGGGGACAGACATTTTAAAAACCAGCATCCCACCTGCAGGTGGCTGACCGTCAGTGATTCCTACGCTACAGCCGGAGGGCACACCCGTCAGTTTATCTTCTTGTTTTGACAGCAGCTTTGAGTTTCAGATCCCCTAGATCCTGGCAAATCATACTGGCCTCACAGTGATTCTGTTTGTTCAGAGCACAGCTTGTCACCAGGGACCCCACGGACCTGACCCCGCGGACCTGGCCCACCCTGATGTGTCCAGGCCCACCTTGGCCTTTGTGGCTCAGGAGAGGCCGGACCGAGGCCCCAAGCCCCAGATGTGAGTGATCAAGGCCCTGAGGGCCCAGGCCTCCAAAGAACACAGAGCACCCAGTCCTGAATTTGACACCCAGCCACTCCGAGGCCCAGAAATGTGGCACCTGGTCACATGTCCCAAACACAGGCGGAGCAAGGAAAACCTTGGCAGGGCCAGCATGCCACCGACCAGAGGCCCCACCGGGAATCACCGGGCATCCGCTGCCCTGGGCACCCCAGGCTCCCCTCATCCCTGCCCCAGGGCCCTCAGGATGGCAGAAGAGAACAGGAGGGTAGGTCCTCTGCCAAGAGCTGCCGGCTGGGGCGGGGGCCATAGCCACGCAGGGCCTGCCTGTGATCTAGCCAGGTGCCGCGTGAGGACCCTGCGGGACCTGTGGAGGCTCCTTCCCACTGAGCCCAGCCCCAGGTCACCCCAGGACCTGCACACTCTTCCTGGACTGGCCCAATGGGGACCTCAGGCACAGCTCCAGCCCCCGGACCTCCAGGGAGGTGGGCTACGCCCCACGCCACAGACGAGAACTGAGAACGGGGCTGGTCCTGTGCCAGAGTGAGTGGAAAGTGAGAGAGAACAGGTCTGCAGACCCACACGTGCACACACATGCCCACACACATGCACATATACACATGCACACGTGCACACACATGTGCACATACATGCACACACACGAATGCATGCATGCACTTCCACGCATGCCTGTGAGCATGTCCAGGGCTCTGCAGCGTGCTTCCCCCGGAGGTGCTTCTCCACAGGGACTGCCACAGAGTGGACACCAAGCCAGGCCTTGTCTACGCAGCCACAGACCAGGAACCAGATGCATCAGGTGGGCGTGCTTCAGTCGGACACACGGTAGCAGGGCCAGGCCCAAGGGGAGCCAGGCTGGTGGAGCCAGGGCCAGGGGGACTCAGGAGCGAGGAGAGCAGGGCAGGGTGGACACACTCTGGAGGGACACTGGCCTTCCTGCCAAGCCACCCGACCCCACATGTGATCCACCTCCACAGAAGCCCACAGCACCAGCAGAGATGCCCTCTGCACAGTCCCTGACCACAGCTCTCAGGCAGCTCCCAGCTGCAGCTGCCACGTGCATGACCCACATGTGGGGCCAGGACATCCACAGAGGACGGTGGCCATGTCAGGGAAACACACACACACACACACACGCACACACATATACGCGCTCTGAAACAAAGGCACTCTGGGAGAAAGATGCCGGACATGCAGAGCCGTGTGCCCCTCCACCTGACACCCCCGAAGGTCCCCAGGACCAGCTGCAGGGACGGGGCTGCCTTCCTCTGGGGAGCGAGCCTCCTCACTCGGCCTGGCTCTCCTCCACCAGGCCAGCTCTATTCTGCACGAGCAGCAGAACCAGGCCTTTCAAGCTGCACCACCCCGGCTGTCACCCAGGGAGAAGCGTCTTTGAAACGGCATTTATGTCTCATGTGCTCAAATGAAGTTAAAACCAACATGAAAAGGGGACCCCAAGAGGTCAGGACCCAAGCAGGGGTGAGGGGTGCTGCACCCCGAACACAGACAAACCCCGGCTGGCGGCCCAGATGTGATCTTACAGTCCTCAGTTCCTTGTGCACAGAGCAGTGGGTGAGCCACACCACGATGACCTCGTGTGTTGGCAAGGGCGGAGTAGGTCTGAGCTAGCTCTCAGAGCACTGTGGGTAACCGGGCCAGCTTCCACTGTCCAGGGAGCGCAGACCAAGGTGAGCTGGCCATGAAGCCACGGCACATGTCAGAGCGACAGAGGTTTTCCACCTCTACACGTGTGCACAGTGAATGTGACCACACACCTGTGTGTACAGCTGCCTAACCCACCGCTGGAGCCAGGCGTGCAGGAGCTACCTGGGCTCAGCTCCCGGAGCCCCCGTGCAGGTAGCCCTGGAGGAGGTGATTCCAGCACTGGTACAGGACATGCGCCCCAAGCCTGAGGACGTGTGTGGTGCGGGGCAGAGGCAGTCCAGAGGCCGGTGCAGCCCACGATGGTCTCCCACCTCCACCCTTCAGAGTTAAGAGGTGCACTGACAGGGAGCTCCCCCAGGTGCATACGAGGGGCACAGGGCAGGGGTCCTCCTCACCTGAGGGACCTGCAAGGTGGGGCTCCTCCTGCAGAACACCAGCCATTCCAGCAGTGAGTGGCAGAAGCAGAACCCACCAGCAACCACCACGGGTTGAGCCGGAACCCTCCATGGCCCCAAGGACAGATGAGAGGCTGGGCATGGACAGTCCACTGTACCTCCTGACGGGTAGGTGACAGGGTAGGGGACACAACTGACATCCCCATCCGATTCAGTTGGGCCCCAGAGGCTCCTGATCTGCCACCCAGGGAAGAGGAGGCACCCTTGGGGGTGTTCTGGCCAGGGACGACACCTGATTCTGACCGCAAGCAAGAATCAAGCAAATCCAAACCAAGGGACCTCAGCAAGCCCCAAGCCAGGCTCACAGCTGGAAAGACAGGCAGAGTCCCGCCGTGGGCGGCCTTACCAGGCAGCGGGGAGACCTCCGCTGTGGCCATGCCTGGGCCAGGCACCGACACTCTGGAGATTCTCTTTGGTCCTGCTTGTTTCTGGGGACTGCACCTGGGATTGGTGCGTGCTGGGCAAGCTCTCTGCCACCAAGCTACCTCCCCAGCCTGCTCTAGACACAGAGAAAACGTGCTGTCCTAGGAATACACCTTCCGTACAAGGAGCCTGCTCTCTGCTGCACTCTCCCCAGGTCAGGGAGAAGCGTGGGTGTGGCGGACAGGAGGAGAGAAGGGGCAGGAGGGACCGAGAGCCAACACAGGACAGCGTCAACGGGAACCCGGGCACTGGGAGATGGAACTCTGTGCTCCTGCAACTCTTCTCAGAACCAGGCCTAAAGGAGATGCCTGCTGTTGGCCGTGGGGTTCAGTGAGCAGTTCAGGGACCTGCAGGCAGCGACCCGCTGGACCACAGCACACCTGGCAGGACTCGTGGGGCGAGCGCTGAGCCCTCGGCCAGATGCTCTGTCTTAAGACAGCCCTGTCCCCGGGGCCCACTGCCCCCATGAAGGGATGGACCCAGGGCCTCAGGTTCTCACTCTGTTGGAGCCAAACCCAGCTCACACCCTTGGACCAAGTCACCAGCTGGCTGGGCTCAGGTTCCTGCCTCCCGGAAGGATGTGGAAGGGTAGGTGGTCTGTAGTCTGTCCTTGCTCTGTCCTCCACCCCAGCTCCGGGTCAGGGCCACCACTGGCCTCTCTGAAGGGCAAAACAGCCCACCTGTGGCTGGCCTGAACCACGAGCCACTCGGGCACACACTGCTGCAGGCGTGTAATCCAAGGACACCACCCTTCCTGGGGCCGGGGCTCCTGGGCAGGACCACACAGCACGCTGGGCACACAGCCTCCTGCAGGGCTCAGACACAGCCCCCGCCTGACACCTCACTTCAAGGTGCACAGCACGAGGCTGAAGCACAGGAGCGTGATCAAGCTGGGTGAGCGCCTGGTCATTTATCTACTTTAGAGGATGACCATGAAGGCTGAGAAATCTGGCAAAAAATGTAACAGAAAACACCTTACAAGTCCAGGCCAGGGCCAGCCCACAGGGCGCTGTGCGGCAGGCAGGAGGCTCTCTTGAAACAGCACAGTGCAGAAGACGGGAACAGAGCCTCAGAACAACGACACAAACATCGGAATTGGGTAAATCCCTCCAATTTGGGGCAACACTGAACACACTGCGTTTGCACCAACCCTGAGCACTCTCTTGCCCAAGTCCTGAGCCACGACCCACAGCATTCGGCCTGAAAAGAAGGCATTCGACCGGGCACGGGGCCACCTGTCCTCCAGCTACCAGAGGCCGTGAGAGGACGGCCAGTCCCAGCCAGCCCTGGCGACTCTGCAAGACCTGCCTCAAAAGCAGCTAAGAGGGCTGGGTGTGGGTTACCAGGAGAGCACTTGACTCGCAGGTGCAAGGCCCTGGGCTCGGGCCTCAGCACCCAAAAAGGGAAAAAGCAAAACCAATCCCCTTCCTTTTTTTAAAAAAAGTATCCACTCAGTCACCACGAGCTCAGGTCCTAGGCAGAAAGGAAACACCCACTCCAGAGGCATCTGGGAGACCCGGACAGCAGGTGGACCCAAAGCCGAGGAGGAACACAGCCGCCCCACTCTGCCAGAGTCAAGAGGAAAAAACCCAGATACGCCGACCTGGGGCACCTGGGGATTCACCTGCATTTCCACAGACAGACACAAGTCCCCTGGCCTGATCCGCATCGCTGGGCGCCACACTGCCAGGCAGCATGAAGGGCCGCTGGGCTAGGGGTGAATCTGCTCACCTGCAGTGGCCTCAGTGTCCCCTTCCCCATTGGTCAGCACGTCTACGACAAATGGAGGGACCAGGGGACCAGCCTGAACAGAGGAGAGCTGGTGCACAGCCGCCAGGAGGGGGGCTGGGAACCTGCCGTGTGCTCTGGGGTGGGCCCCAGGACAGGGCCCTCTGCCAGGGTGGCCTCTGCCCACTGAATGACGCAGAGGGATGGCATGCCAAGAGACAGTGGGTGACCGGATGGAGTGTCCTTGACCAAGCACTTCAACTGACACCACTGCCAGCCAGGGAAGCAGCACCTGGACACTGGCTGTCTCCAGGCAGGCTTGAGGACCAGCCCTCCTGGCCAGGTCACTCTGTGAGGACAGGCTGGTATCCATGGGGGTCGGGAGCTCAAGCATGGTGCTGCCGGGAAGTCGCAGGACTGAGCACAACAGCCCCAAACTCATCCCCACGTCCCACCCAGATGAAGAACCCCCCTGGCACAATCCTCACGCACAGGCAACCCCAAGTTCCCCGTCAGAGGCAATGAGCAGCCACCCACCCACCATTCTCAGGGACCCCACCTGAGAGGCACCAAGAGAAAGTCGCAGCCACGTGACCCCACCAGACGCAGGTGCAGGGTGCTGGGTTCCCAGGCTGTGCGCCAGGACGGGGTGCACCGGGGGTCACCCTGTCCCTCCTGCCTCGCACTGTGACTGTGCCAGCTGCTCCGTCACTGAGAAACGTGACAAGCAGGGTTTTAAAACAGGATGAACAAAGGAGAGCCGGAACACTGCAGGATGGGGAGGCCACCTGGACAGGGTGGGTCCTGCCAGAGTCCCCAGGGCCACCAGGCTGCAACCAAAGGTACCAACCAGGGGACTTCCCTTCGGGTGCCAGTGTGGGGCCATTTCACCGAGGTGCGTACATCTGTCAAGCTGCCCTGGCTTGTCGCTGCCCCAGGGCCGGCACCTGCAGTGCCAGCACCGGGCAGATCCTGAGGAGCAGCCGAGAGCCTCCGATGGCCCCTGCGGCCTGGCTGGAGGAGCACAGGAAGGCAGCCGGGGGTCAGTTTCGACACAGCCCCTCTCCCCGCTCACTTCTCACCATCTGCCTGTCGGCCTGCGTAGCCACTTCCCGCAATCAGTCCCTGTGTGTGCACACCAGGGGGAGAACCCGGGTGCTCACCACTGAGCCACATTCCCAGCCCTTTCTATGTTTTATTTTGAGTCAGGGTCTAAGTCTCTTAGGGCCTCAAACTTGAGATCCTTCTGCCTCAGCCTCCAGAGTCACTGGGATTCCTGGGCAGCTTGTCTCTTTAAAGCCCTTAAAACGCATACTGAGTGCTCTTAACAGCTCCTGCAGGAAGTGGCCCCAAATTCCCTTGGCCACCCCAAGGCCCAGCCTGAGCCCTTGGCAGCTGGAGTCGGCCCCCACCCCCTGCCGTATCATCCCTCCCCCGTCCACCCAACACCCAACAGTGGGAACCAGCTACGTCCTGACCGTATCACTCACAGCCCCGTGCCGCTTGCTCAAATAAAGTCAAGGGCTGGGTGGGCGACCACAGGGGCATGAGAGCAGGGCCACTCCATGTGGGGACACCCAGCCGGCCTCTCTGCAGGTGGGCAGGATCAGCAGTACAAGGTGCAGGGACAGCGTGTGCCCACCCGATGCCAGGGACAAGTGTGTGCTCCTCCTCCAAGTCACACAGGGACTGCTGCAGAGCATCAGACGACCCCTTCAACAGGCCTCTCCAGGTCACCAACAGAGCCCTCACCATGGTCACCGGAAGCCAGGGGAGTCTGATGCCTAGATGTCCTGGGAGACCCCGAAGCACCCCTGGGCACACTGCCTCTGGTCAGCAGGTCCAGCAGAGGCCATGGAGCAGACCTAATGCTGCTGTGGGAACGCGCAGGGGCTGGTCCTTCTGCCTTGAGGCTGCTGGGTGTCCGGGGGCTGGAGCCTCATCTCGTCCTCTGCCCTTCCACTGCATCAAGAGGACATCCATACTGGAAAGCGGACGGCCCTCCTGCACCCACCTGCCCCTCAGACATCCAGCCCAGGCTGACGCCCACACCCTCCAGGACTGGTGGCAGGCCCATCCCAACGTCGCCGTTTGAGGCATACCCATGACCTCCCTGTGGAAACCCACTTGCAGAGACTCACCCTCACCACCAGAAAGCTGCCCTACCAGGGCGGCCCTGTTCTGGCTCCCCGCGCATCCCACAGCGGCCTCTGGGGTGTGCGCAGCAGGCAGTGGCCCCTCCAGAGGGAGGCCTCAGGCCCTGAGGGGGCTCTCTTTAGACAGAGGTGGCAGGCCCTCTGGCCGGGGAGGGGCGGCCACTCTTCTAGACACATTGGGTGTGAGCGGACCTCCATGGTTGACAGGCGCACCCAGCGGGCAGACCCCAGACTCACAGTCCTGCCAAGCCCTAAGCAGCCCCGGGGGTCTGCTCTGGGACACCTGCTCAGACCCTCAATTCCCAGCCATGCAGGCCAGGGAAGGACCCCCAGTCAGCAGGGAGACCCCTTCTTGGGTGACCAGCTGCAGCCTGTCCAGGCCTCCTCTGGCTGGACACGGACGCTCCTCCCACCCTCGCTCCTCCGCTGGGTCCAGGCTTTAGCGCTGGTCTCTCAGGATGGCTGAAGGGAGGGGCAGAGAGCTCTCCAAGACATAGCCAGAAACACTCCCTGTGGTCAGTGGCGCGGGCTGGCTAAGGATGCCCAGCGGCCCCCCGCCCCTTCCTGCCACCAAGTGCGGGCAGGAAGTCTGCCTGGCTGGACAGCATTGGAGGCCTGGCGAGGTCACACAGCGGCCTGTCTAGACACAGAGGCTGCAGGCCTGGGGGAGCAGTGGCCAGCAGGACCACACCACAGGGCACCCACAGCAGATGAGTCCCACCTGGCAACCTCAGGAGCTGCACTCAGCCCCCTAATGCCAGACACAGAAGACCCACCCCACCCCACCCCACCCCACCCCCAGCACCTCCGGAAGCCACTTCCTGGTGACAGTGCTCTCAGAAGTGTAAGTGCTGGGACAGCGTCTGCAGGCTCCAGGAAACGGGCAATGACGACCTCTCCTTTGTCCCCCAGCCCTGGTACTTTCTGCACCCTAAAACCCAGCAACCTGGCCAATCCCGGCCATGCAGCACCCCGGGCGCAGCACAGAGAGTTCTGCCTTCAGCCAGAAGAGCTGAGCAGCTCCAGCCCAGAGTGTGGGGATTCTGACAGCAAGATTCTGGCTG